TAGACGCTCCAGTGCTATGGAAGTTTCTCAGGGCATGCGAGCGTCTTTCAGGTTTATTTAGTCCTTTAGCGTTGATTGTGGTGATATGAAGATATGCCGGTCGCAGTGACATGGTCGGGGTTGGGGGGAGTTGGGGGGGGAGGGTCAATCAGCGTGGGAAGGTGGGGGAGGGGAACCAGCGCCTGTAAGAGCGCTGTCTAGGTACGAGCGTCTGGGTAGGGATAAGCGCCTGTCCACCAGGGATAAGGGGCAATTACCCGCCCAGTACCTTGCGCCCTATCCTAAGGGGGGGTCGAAGGAAGTTGCAAACCACTAGGTAGCGCGCGTGAGGGTGGGGTCTACCGAATCGTAGGCAAGTCCTTTTATGAACTCCTCCGACGTCGTCCCCTGTTGGCTCTGTTTGCATGTGTGTCAACTTTATGTTCCTCGCCTTGTGAGGTGTTGGCCCTAGGGCCTTCTAGTTATGGTGTGTGTCAGGTTTAAATTTGAGCATATGAATATATGAAAGGTCAGAGGGGGAAACCTTATGCATATGAAAAATGTAAAATATAAAATGAGAAACATAGAAAACAGTTATAACAGTTATAACATTCCAGTCATGGAGCTTCATGTTGGGTGTACCCCTGCCACCTGGTCCCTGTGCTCATGCACCCGTCCTGCCCGCATTTCCATCCGGCCGCCCCTCCTCCATGCATGGGCAGGATAGGTCTTTCTCTTGGGTTCTGTCTCTCTCCCCTCCGCTCCTTGGGGAGCCCGGGCCCCCAGCAGGCCAGGCCGGTGCCGGCTCCCCCCACGCGCTCACCTAAGTGGGTCGTCACGCGTGGGTCAGGAGGTCGGCCCCGGCCCGGCCCGGTCGGGGCACAGGCCCCGCATTCCCTCTCTCCGGGCATGGGTCCCCCAGCAAAATACAATACTAGCAAGCATTGGGCTCTGCCCCCAACCCCCCATCCCTTCTCAGAGGCACCCGGGTCTCAGTACAGTGCCCAGTATTCCCATCAGGTCATACATTTTTTTTCTTTTTTTTCTCAAAGGGACTCGGCTAGCTTGTGTGGCCCAGTGAGGCCTCCCCGTATCAAGCTATAGTTCTATGTCTAGGGGAGCTAAAGTCCCTTTTAAAAACAGAGCAACTGGGCTTGGGGGGTTGTGATACTTGCGGGGAGCCGTCTGAGCGATGTTTCAGAGCTGCACGGCTGCTCGGTGCCCCATCATTGCTGTCACTGCTGAGGAAGTTCGTGAGGGTCACTCGGCTGGGCACTTGGGCTGTGGGGCGGCAGTCAACAACGCCTGTATGCGGAGTCATGTCCAGGCAGCACAAGACAGGTCCAGGTTTCTTACGCCTCTGGTTACATAGTTGCCCCCGACGGGCGTATCGTTTGCATGCGGGATCTTCGCTGTCTCTGTGGTTTTTGGGTCGGTGTCTGGGTGCTTGCGGCAAACGTGTAGAAGGCCAGGGGGTCTGGCCACTGCATATGGATCGGCGGGAGCTGCAGTTCTCGTGTTAACCCTGTTAGGTCATCTTCTCCCTTGACTAGGAAGGGGCCTGTTGGTGTGAAAACGTGCAGGCCTGTTGGGAAGGTCCACCGGTACCTTAGTTTGTTAGATTGCAGGATTCTCGTCAGTGGGCGCATCGCCCGGCGATAGGCCAGCGTGGCCGGGGACAGGTCCGGATAGAGTTGGACCTCTGCTCCGTTTATGAGGACGTGGTCAGTCTCCCGTGCTCTCCGCAATATGTCCTCCTTAAGTTGAAAGCTGGCCAAGCAACAGATGATGTCCCTGGGGGGGTCTTCCGGGGCCCCTTTAGGGCGCAGTGCGCGATGTGCTCTGACAAAGTCAATTTTAGTGGACTCAGGCCTGCTCAGCAGTTTGTTAAAGAGGTCTGTGAGTGTCTCTTTCACGGGTTCAGTGTTGGCAGTATGTTCAGGGATACCTCTTACTCTGATATTTTGTCTTCTGCCTCTGTTGTCCAAGTCCTCTATATGGTATGCCATCTGTCTGAGTTGTGCAGATTGCTTAAGTATGGCGTCGGTAGTTGTAGATTGTACCGCGTGTGCGTGATCATTATCTGCTTCCAGCTGGGAGACTCTGTGGTTGAGGCCCTGCAGGTCCTCCCTCATGGCGTGCAGTTCTGTTGTAATTGATTTCTGCAGGGCTGCATTAGCTTCTTTAAGATCTGCTTTGGTGGGTAGGTTGCTGAGTACCCTCACCCAATCCAGGGGGGGCTCTGCCGTGCCAGCGGCATCTAGTTCGTCTCTCCCGGGCGGCGACAGCGTGTTGTCCGTGGCCAGGGACTCATTTGAGGCCTGAGATGCGAGGTCGGCCGGGGTAAGCAGGTATTGCCTCATCGAGGGTGCCGGGGACCCCCTAGGGGTGTCCGCGGACTTCACTGCTTGCGTGGCTCTGTGTGATTTCCCCATCGTGCGGTCCTGACACACGGCTCGGCGAGGGAAAGTGCAGAGCCGGCGGGGAGCTCCCTCACTAAGCCGCCATCATGTTCGGCGTCCAAGCCACGCCCCCCACTTCCCTCTTTCTACTGCTAATACCTCTCCCTATACAATCAAGCATTCTGCTAGCATTTTCTGCTGCTCTATTACATTGTCTGCCTACCTTTAAGTCATCAGAAATAATCACCCCTAAATCCCTTTCCTCAGATGTTGAGGTTAGAACTCTATCAAATATTCTGTACTCTGCCCTTGGGTTTTTACGTCCAAGATGCATTATCTTGCACTTATCAACATTAAATGTCAGTTGCCACAACTCTGACCATTTTTCTAGTTTACCTAACTCATTTGCCATTTGACTTATCCCTCCTGGAACATCAACCCTGTTCCATATCTTAGTATCATCAGCGATTTAAACCTGTGAGGAAGACAGAAAGACTACTTGTCTATAAGGCTAACAATCACATAATGCAACGACTGAAATATAGAATTGTAAAGACAGGGAAGTTGGTTTTTTAGTCTTTATAAAACAAACCTCACATTATAAACTTCATTATACATATATAATGCATATATATGATTTCATTATAAGTGTATTTTGAGATATATGTGTATATATCTCAAAGTACACTTATAATTCAATCATATATATGCATTATATATGTATAATATATTATCAAACGCTTTAATTATTTTATAATATATTATACATGTATAATATATATATACATATATATTTATTTATTTTTTCACTTTTTAGCAGCCTGCGGGACTGCCTGACAGCTCAGACAGTCCCCCCTGCTGGCAGCTACATAGACTGCTATTGCAGCGATGTGATCATGGTGATCACATGGCCATGGAGGGCCAGGGTTTGTCGGAGCTGGCCGTGATCGCCGGTCCAGGTAAATCCAGGGCTCCTAGGTCGCTAAGGAGATATGGATTTATAACTTCATTTTAAATGTATTTTGATTTAAATATGCATGTATATTAACATCAAAATACAGTTAGAAAAAATTTAAACTGATATATTTTTATTTAATTTAATCTTTTTTATATTTATTTTTTAAATTTATTTAACATTATTCTAAGTGTATTTGAATATTAATCTATATATTATATAGATTAATATTAAAATACACTTTTATGATTTTATGACTTTGATGATTTATGTATGTGCATATAAAAGTACTTAGATCATATATTTATATATATATATATATGATCTAAATAATTTTATATGCACATACACATATATATATATATATATATACATATATATATATATATATATATATATATATATATGATCTAAGTACTTTTATTTACTTTTAAAACTTTTTAATAATTTGTAGACAGACCCCAGGATCGCGATTGCCGGCGTTCAAGTAAGTGGGAATTTACTAGTGGACGTACCAGGTACGTCCGCGGTCGTTAACGTCCATGGTCGGGAAGGGGTTAAAGGATAATACAAAAAATATATTTATGGGGGTTTTTTTTGTTTTTTTATACAATTTAGTAGATATAGATATTCTTCTAATGGAAAAGTTCATGCATTTAATTGTGTAATTGTCATTGGGTGTATATCTAAAAACAGCTTGCAGATCTTGTCTGAAGTCTTTGCAAGTCTGACACTTCTTCCCCAACCCAGACTTTCTGTAGCTGGTCAGTCATACAGTGCATTGTAATAATGAATGTAATACTCTATTAAACCAGCACTTCTCGCTGTTTAATGATTAAAGAGATACCAGGCATCAACACAACTTTATCTTAATTAAATTGTTATGGTGCCAGGAGGTCGCTGATTGGCACAATTACCTCATAGTTGTTAGCCATTCTCGAATAGTTTAACCTAAAAGTTTCATCCAGCGGCAATGTCAGTTCCCACCCAGGTGGCATCCAGCTTCAGAATTGACTCAGAAAGCGCGGAGTGCAGCCCGGCAGGGGCGCAGCTGATTGGCTGAGAGTAGCCAGCTGACAATATTAGCCAACCGGTGACTCCACATTCACTAAACTGGCTTAGAAAAGGTATGTTTCATGTCAAGCCAGGCTGTAAGGGGCAGGTGCAGGTAAATAAAACACCTTCCCCTCCACCTCGCAGCCACCGGAGAACCTGCGGAGCAGTAACTGTTGAAAAATATGCAACTATATAAAAAAAAAAAAAAAATGGCAGTCAAATTAAATGTTTCTATTTATACTCACAAACACTATATATTCTCCTACTGGACACCTAGATGTAAATGTTTTTCCTTTGGTTTTATTAAAGATTCTTAAATATTGTATGGCTTTGTTTTCAACTGCAGAGCTTGTAAAATAGACTTCTGTTGTTTAAGTATTCTGTATATGGTTAGCTAAATAACAGTGTCTGTTTAATATATAGTGTTATTGCTAACATAGTATCTGTAAGAGAGATAAAGAGAGTGGGCGGGATAAGTCTGGGAGGGATATGGGCTGGTTAAACAGCACGATATTTAACCCATATCAGGAACTGTGTGAAGGTGCACTTGAAGGGAGCATTTTGTACATCATCCAGCACCTCTGAGAGAGTCACACAGAGAATTCACTATGAGCACAGTCGGGAAAGTAAGGAAAATAGCCTATTCACTTTTAATGAATGTTTTAAAGCTGCAACACTAATTCCAGGCATAATTGTGATCTAGAAACTAGCTCTATTAGTCTAGTATGAATGTTAAAGAGTGAAATGTTTGAATATGCCAAGTTTATGGGTAGAGAGTCAAGGACACCAAGTCGAGAACAAATAGTGGAAATCAGTTATCATGTTGTTCTTTATCTCCAGTGTTTGCTACAGGAGACATCAAAATCACATACATCTCAAAACTTGTTTGTATCCAGCCAGTAGAGGGGATTTATTATTTAGATTAATCACAGTAATATATATAGCATCTACAGTATGCTTCTAAACTTGCTGAAATAGGATTGAAACTGAATAATAATATTTCTCAGTTTCCTGACATGGCTACATGTACTAAGTGCGTATTTGGCAAGAGTCTTGGAATCACACAAGAATATGAGTATTCAGAAACCAGTCCAGACATTGCAGGGTTGATTCACTTAACAGAGTATGAAAAAACAAAGATTTTAATAGGGAGATATATTTGCTGCTATTTATTTAAATACATCCCTGTACAGTGATTTTAATGACGAAATGTAGTTCTTATAGGAAATATTTAATGGAAATGTAAGTATTTAATGCTTCAGCTGTATTCTTATTAAGTAACTTCATGATATGTATTTTTCAGTTTCTTACATAATTTCTATTTTCCTTTTTTACTCAATTATTTTGTAATTTGTTGTGGTTTATCTGTTGATGCTATTCAAAATATTTTTGTGGCATGTTTATCATGAAGAACTCGTATTCCTTTTTAACAGTCCCGTTAATGCTGAAAAACACATGTGGCAGCTTCCCGAATCTTTGTATCTTGCCAGCAATAATTCTATCTACAGTGAAAGTTACTTTAGTTTATTCAAAGCACAGTCAACTTTAAATTGACTTATCACCCCTTTGACCTTTCCTCTCTCTCCCCCCTTGTAGAAACAAATATAGTCTTGAGTGGGTTTTTTTTATCTCCCTCAAAAGCTCAAATTCCACCAGTATAGATAAGAGACCATCCTTTTTTTCCAATCTTTGGAAGAGGACAGTAATCTGTCAAACCTGCTTTATCCCATAAAAAACGTAATTATATTTTATGATAAACTGGATCTTATTTTTAACAAAAATTCTCAACATTATAACATTGTTATAATTATGTTAAGTTATAATCATAGTGAATCTATGCTTACATCAATCATTAGTGTCTCTCATAGTAATATCCACGCTCTAATAAAGTGATCCCACCCAACACCACATCCTACACCCAACCTAACATACCATCATGGCTCCCTCAGTCCACTTCATTCCTATTTTACCTGCTGACGCACCTCTAGATACCTGTACTCCTCCAAAGTGGTAGTCACTCATTAAAAAAACATCCAATGATACATATATTCTAGCTAACATCTGGCTGATTTATGTTTTCCTTATTTAAAAATAAATCTTCTCAGTTACAAGGGCTAGTAGTGGCTGATCCACAGGGGCACCTATATAAATGCTGGTGGTATTTTACCAGTGGTAAAATAGTGAATTACTGACAAAGTTTCCCTTTGGAAATGGTATACTTGCAAATTTCCATTATAAATGGTAAGCATACACCATACAGTACTGCAGTGCTATAATTTCTCTCCCCTGGTTCTAGTAGAGAACAGACTGATTCACTGGTAATTAATAATGGCTATTTGAAAATGCTGTTTTGTGTAGAATGCTGGTTTGTGTAGAATTTAGGTCATTTGTGACATCTATCCAATCAGAGAGATCTGTAGGCATGCTCAGTATGCCCATAGAGGTGATTTTTAAAATGCCTGTTTAATCTCTAGCAGGGCCAGTGTGTGTAATATATTCACTTCATGCAATGTGTTAAACAATGTTTGGTTTTATTTGATTTAGCAAAAATCATAAAAAATAAAAAGTTTCATGCACATAACAAGATTTGAATCCAGGTATGGTCACAAAAGACAAAGCCCTAGGCTACCTGAGAACATCTAAAGTCACCAAGCTCAGTTCCACGATCAGCACTGTCTACTATAAATGTGTCTAACAATAGGAACACCCTGTACCTTCTAATGGCTCTGGAGTCAGTTTCTGTGTTTGGAGTTCGGAACCCCACCATCTTAAAATTCATCAGCTGCTACTGCTCAGTACTCATCTTCTTTGACATCTCTGTTTGTTTTGATTATGTTGATATTTGGCTAACCTCACTATCACCGTCATCATCTACCCTCACCTGTCTCTCATCCTGTCTTTCTTACATTTCCTAGCTCTGTAAATCTTCCGCCAATATGTATACCTCAAAGCTACGTTATTGGCACTCTTCTTTTCTCCCTCTATGCCACCCTCTGTCTTATTTAATCTCTTCTCTCAGATTCAGTATCAATTTAATTATGGTTTGCATACACAATTTATTTACCTATTCCTTCATATCTGGCCTCTCCCCCTTTCTTTTGACTAACTCTTTCTGAATGTTTTCCATAAAAACACCACCCACAACTGAATTATTATTCTTATCTTTGCATCTCCATCACATTCCCTTAATCCAACCCTACATCTTCTGTCTTCCACAGCTCTAAAGTTAACTGTCAGCTTCGATCTCTCCTCCCCTTTTTCATATAAATTGCAAAAAAACAGAGAATATGAGAACTATGAGAACAGACAAAAGCGTAGAAAAACAAAGTAGTTTGCCCCTCGTCAGATCCCTGATCAGTTCTCTATACCATGTGCATATCAGACTGATCCCATCCATAACGGATGACAAGGCCACCATATTGAAATCAGATAGTTATACATTTGTCCACCAGCCACTAGGAAATAAATTGCACAGAATGTGTCAAATATGCTTTACTTGTTATTTGTGTAATACAAGGGAGCTTGGGTTATTGGCACTGGAAGTACTCTATTACCTTTACTTAAAAATACCTAATTATCTACTAATTTTCCACCATTCTACCATCAGCCAGCACTCTGTATGGATAAAGTAGCTAACCTCTGTAACATGTAACCGGTTCGGAATGTTAAATTTTGATGTCACTGAGTGAGACAATCTGTAGTATAATAAAATAATGCCGATATACAGCAGAACATATGTTTAGTAGTATATTTTCTATGACAGCTTCTTTTAGACACTTTAATTTCAAGGTATTAAACATCCTCAAAGTCAACATGTGTATTCTCTAATACTACAGTCACTAGGTTAATATACTCACTATTAGCAAGAACAAAATGGTTCAATGCATCAAAATAGTGTGCTGCGGGGTACAGGTTATTATTATTCTACTGGATAATTTTATTCAGGAATCTTTCAGTTTAATATGTGGCAATATGTCAAACAAATACAATATATAGTACATATGTGCATAAAACTGGTAAACCTTTTTATATACTTGTTTGAAGGTGAATGTTAGGTTGAAGTTATAACTGACATACTACCATGGGTCATGAAAAATAAGCTGCGGTCTGTTAATATTTTATGAATAACCTTCATTTACATTGTGGCTCAGCCGTTAAATGTATGTTTTCCAATGTTATGTAACATCATCAGTGTTTAACTAAGCACATAAAATGTGAAAGGTTTTGGTCATAGATGTATGCACATAAAGACTTCACTGATATTGAATTTATACATAGAGCTGTTTCAATGGACACCTTGATTTTAGACAATGTTTTAATTTTTAATATATACTATTCTAAGCTACAACAATGGTATCTTCTTTTTTTATTTTCATGTTTTGTTAAATTAATGCTGTTCATTATTAATGTATTACTTTGCTTTTAAATACATGTAGAACAAAACCTTATATATACAGCAAGATATGAAACCCAACACAACGTTAAAGAGTTTAATACCACGTCATGCACAATCAAATAAAAAAGTAAATATAGCCAACTTTAAAGGAAAACTCCAAGCACTATAACCACTACAGCTCAATACAAACCATTTATTATTGGTTTGACTTCTTACGTGGGATCTACCGGGCGTCACTCTCTGCCTCCACTACTAATGCCAGACAGCAGTAATTTCCAATAGCTCTACTAAACTAAGCCCTCTAATTATACAATTTAATGCCAACTGAGTTCAGTTAGGTAAAGGATAGGGCAACTTAAATTTTGCAAGGAGTATAGAGTTTAATGGGCCAAGTAGTGTATTTTTTAAGCACTGAATTCTCAATGGATGTGTGCAAGAACAGTTAGCAAATAAGACATCTTGTTTTCAATATTTGGCAGTGCTTTCACAGAAAAATGCAATGGGACATAGCAACTGTGTGGGAGCTAACAAGACTACTGATGCAGTCCAGAAGTAAAAATAGTTATGACTTTAATTATTAACCATGCTAGTCCCAAGCAGGCACAGTTTGGCCCAGCCTGGCCATTGGCGATTGCCATGGGCTAAGGCTGACAGGGGAGATCAAAGTATCTCCCCTTCCAGCCTTTGCAGGGAAACAATTGCCCTAAGAGTGAGCTCTGTCCCTTCAATGGCTGGAGAGGAGACTAGAAGACCCTAGTAGTTATGATGTCGGGAATGCCTGGCATCCCTCCAATCTAAGCAGTCTAACTGTTGATAATGGTAATAGTTTGACTTCATACTTTTGGCTTAATGGGCTCCATTCCCCATCTCTTTTAAGCCTGAGGTTAGAACTAGAAGCTCCTGCCAGGAGCATTTTTTTTTATTTTTTTTTATTTCTCATGAGCTAAGCCCTGAAGTACATGACCATCTCATTGGATGAGAACATCAACTGATTGCTCTAAGAAAATGAACTAAGCCCTGCACATCTGGGCTTAACTCAGAAAATATAGCTTCCAGCTGCAAGTGGTGGAGAAACCTAGGGAACCAGTACCAAAAGGTTTGACTACAGTACTTATGTGGGGGGTGAGGTCACCAGGGTACTCCTGACAATATAACCACATAAACACTGTAGTGGTTACGGTGTTTGAAGTGTTCCTTTTGTAATTCTGCATATATTTACATTAAAATTCTGTTATAGTTTATGAATTGAGTTATATATCATGTCATGCCAGCGCTACATGTGTTAGTTAACAAGGACATATGATGTGTAAAAGTACATGTAGTTAAACGTTATGCAGTTAAAAGTAGACCAAACACTCTTGGAAAGCAATCTACATATTTTGTGCAGGAGATCTACAGTATTGTTATAAATACATTGTGTTAGAATGCATACATGAAAGGTCACAAATATGCAAACTGGTATTGAGTAGCTAATTCTACCGTTGCAATTTAATCTTGTAGTTTTCATTTCACAGACATGCATTTATCTTTCACATTGATCAGATTCCTGCATGGATGTTATATGGTGCTTTAATAGCAAGCACTTCAAGCTAAGACAAATGTGCTTTAATCAATGCACAGTTTCATCAACATTGGAAGAACTAATTTTAGAGTACTGAAGGGAGATTTATCAAGGAAAACACAGGTGCTATGCAGGGGCAAAGTACCAAATAAGAAGCAACCACTATGAGAACCTAAAGACTATCTTTCAAAGTAGCACTGTTTTGCCTTGATAAATTTCCCTCTGGTGTCAAATCAATCTTTTATTTAAGAAGCATGCATTTTTATTTATTTAAAAAAAAAAAAAACATGGCACAAAAACACTGCATTTAAAAAATATATATATATAAATCCCCATTATCACATTTAAGGTATACCACTGCCGGGCGCAAAATCAAGGCTCCAATAGACAAACAATCCAATGAGGGAGGCTGCTCTCCGGACTTAAAACTTCAATTTATTATAATGGATTAAAAATGACGATCAACGTTTCGGTCCCCACTCGGGACCTTCTTCAGGGTCAAAACAAGTACAATTGTCCTGTTGTACATTACCCTGAAGAAGGTCCCGAGCGGGGACCGAAACGTTGGTCGTCATTTTTAATCCATTATAATAAATTGAAGTTTTAAGTCCAGAGAGCATTGTGTTTGTGTGTGTGTGTGTGTGTGTATATATATATATATATATATATATATATATATATATATATATATATATATATAGTGTGTGTATGTATTTCATGAGCTGAACTCAAAGATCTAAGACTTTTTTTCTATGTACAAAAAAGGCCTATTTCTCTCAAATATTGTTCACAAATCTGTCTAAATGTGTGTTAGTGAGCACTTCTACTTTGCCGAGATAATCCATCTACCTCACATGTGTGGCATATCAAGACACTGATTAGACAGCATGATTATTGCACAGGTGTGCCTTAGACTGGCCACAATAAAAGGCCACTCTAAAATTTGCAGTTTTACTGTCTTGGGCGGGGGTGGGGGAGGGTCCGCTGGGGTGCGAAAACCAGTCAGTTTGTGGTATGACCACCATTTGCCTTGCGCAGTGCAACACATCTCCTTCGCATAGAGTTGATCAGGTTGTCGATTGTGACCTGTGGAATGCTGGTCCACTCCTCTTCAATGGCTGTGCAAAATTGCTGGATATTGGCAGGACCTGGAACACGCTGTCGTATACGCCAATCCAGAGCATCCCAAACATGCTCAATGGGTGACATGTCCGATGAGTATGCTGGCCATGCAAGTACTGGGATGTTTTCAGATTCCAGGAATTGTGTACAGATCCTTGCAACATGGGGCCGTGCATTATCATGCTGCATCATGAGGTGATGGTCGTGGATGAATGGCACAACAATGGGCCTCAGGATCTCATCACGGTATCTCTGTGTCACGTATTTAATGCACACATAAAAATGTGGTTAAAAAGAAGGATAGTGCGTAGGCGCTTCACTGTAATTTTGACAATTCTGTATATAGTATAAAGTATACAATAGATGGTGTAACCGGTACCCTAGTGCTTCCCTTATACACCAGATTTACACAATACAATAAAAAGAGACAAATACCAGTATATACACCTCCCCAATGTGATCACAACAAAAATAAGTGATATTACCAATATAGAACTGGACTGTAATGTAAACAGCGTAGAACTTGATTGGGGTATAAACTAAAATAGAAAAAACATAAAAAACATAGTGCAAACTGTATGATAATAAATAAGTAATAAATAGGTATGTGACTCTCACTCACATTCTCCAGAGCCGTACCAGGCTCTGTATAGCAGGCTCAGGGGTGCCAATAACTGGCTAACGATCCAGGTGGTCCAAATAGATGAGACTCCAAAGGTTAAATATAAAATATATTTATTTATAAAAATATATAAAAAAGTGTATACACTGCTGGGCACTATGGGGGTGGAACCCAAAACAGACAAGAATATATATAAAACAATAATGGAATTCCACTTACCCCTATCTGTATAGTAGCCCAGAGTGACAGAAATACACATAAAATAACAAATACAAATGCAGAAGATTGAAGCACGCTTTTTTATATATTTTTATAAATAAATATATTTTATATTTAACCTTTGGAGTCTCATCTATTTGGACCACCTGGATCGTTAGCCAGTTATTGGCACCCCTGAGCCTGCTATACAGAGCCTGGTACGGCTCTGGAGAATGTGAGTGAGAGTCACATACCTATTTATTACTTATTTATTATCATACAGTTTGCACTATGTTTTTTATATTTTTTCTATTTTAGTTTATACCCCAATCAAGTTCTACGCTGTTTACATTACAGTCCAGTTCTATATTGGTAATATCACTTATTTTTGTTGTGATCACATTGGGGAGGTGTATATACTGGTATTTGTCTCTTTTTATTGTATTGTATAAAAATGTGGTTATTGGCATTTACCGTCCTGACAGGAAAAGTTGTGCTGAGCAGCATTACTGTCCTGACAGGAAAAATTGTGCTGAGCAGCAATCATGCACATGGAAACCTGGTAATTGATTTTGGGGACAAAGGCCGGTTACAGCCAATCGGATCCACAGGAGGGGTATTTAAACCCAATTCTCCTTTTGCTCATTACACTGTTGTGGTTTCATGCTGATGGTAATCCGAGAGTGCGTTCCTGATCTTGATTTTCTGGTATTTGACTTTGGCTTCGTTTTGACTTCCCTGAATTCTGGGATCCTTGATTTTTGGCTTTCCCTCATCTTTGTGTCTGATTCTGTGTACCTGACCTCAGCTAGTATTTTGACTATTCTTGGATACGTTAAGTCCAGCCATTCTAAGGTCTGGTTACACGTTATACTTAGTCCTAGGTGTTCTGCATGCTGGATCAACTTGTAATCCTGACACTCTGTGCATTCAAAATGCCATCAATAAAATGCACCCATGTTCCTTGTCCATAACATATGCCTGCCCATACCATAACCAAACCGCCACCATGGGCCCCTCAATCCACAACGTTGACATCAGCAAACCACTCACCCACAAGACGCCAAACATGCAGTCTGACATCTGTCCTGTACAGTGAAAACCGGGATTCATCCGTGAAGAGAACACCTCTCCAAAGTGCCAGATGCCATCGGATGTGAGCATTTGCCCACTCAAGTTGGTTACGATGACGAACTGCAGTCAGGTCAAGACCCTGATGAGGACGACCAGCATGCAGATGAGCTTCCCTGAGACAGTTTCTGACAGTTTCTACAGAAACTCTTTGGTTATGCAAACCAATTATTGCAGCAGCTGTCCGGGTGGCTGGTCTCAGATGATCTTAGAGGTGAAGATGCTGGATGTGGAGGTCCTGGGCTGGTGTGGTTATACATGGTCTACGGTTGTGAGGCCGGTTGGATGTGCTGCCAAATTCCCTAAAACACCTTTGGAGACGGCTTAAAGTGGAGAAATTAACATTCAATTCACGGGCAACAGCTCTGGTGAACATTCCTGCAGTCAGCATGCCAATTACATGCTCCCTCAAAACTTGCAACATCTGTGGGCATTGTGCTGTGTGATAAAACTGCTCATTTTAGAGTGGCCTTTTATTGTGGTCAGCCTAAGGCACACCTTTGCAATAATCATGCTGTCTAATCAGCACCTTGATATGCCACACCTGTGAGGTAGATGGATTATCTCGGCAAAGGAGAAGTGCTCACTAACAGAGATTTTGACAGATTTGTGAATAATATTTGAGAGAAATAGGCATTTTGTGTACATTGAAAAAGTCTTAGATCTTTGAGTTCAGCTCATGAAACAAGGGGGCAAAAACAAAAGTGTTGCATGTATAATTTTGTTCAGTGTATATATAAATATAATATATACAAATAAACCATTTCAGCTATCAAGGAGTACTCAAGTGTGCCAGAATTCATCTCAATGTACACATTTCATTTCAAAGTTTTTCCTGCCTATAATTGTAATGCACAGTACTTGTATTTACAATGTAAATGATCTTTTAACAGTCTCATATATAATATATATTAACCAAGTTTGTTTCCAACATAGAAAAGCTTGAGAAAAGCCAGTGTCTTCAAACATCTATTTTATGCATTAAATCCACAGTATGAATAGTGAGTTAACACAGCAGTACCCACGTTTATGCACAACATTCCAATTCAAAACATTCCAGATATTCCAATTCAGAATCTAAGCAACTTTAAACAAAGTGTGTCAGAAACAAATATAACTACATTTCAGTTTTACTGAGAATCTACTCCTGACTGGAAATGGTAATGATTAAATGTGGCAGTGTTGAGAAAGAAAGTCACAAGACAATCTCCAGAGCTTAGTCTACCAGACCAAAGTATTTTGTTTGTAAAAGTTTCATGTCTACATTCAGCTTATGCAAGTTATTTATTTGAAGTAAAACAAGACAGTGAAATGAGCTAATCCGGTGCTTTAGAACTAGCAGCTTATTTTTCTGAAATGTTCCAAAAATCAGTGATTTCCTATGCATTCAGGGTTACGTTATCATTTATACATGATGCATTCTAAAGTATAACAAATGTAATTTGCAGGTTATCAAATGCAAGGCTGCAGTGGCTTGGGAAGCAGGCAAGCCTTTCTCAGTGGAGGAAGTGGAAGTTGCACCACCACGAGACCATGAAGTCCGCATCAAGGTGACCATGAATTAACTGTGAAAGTGACAAGTTATATAATAATAGTATCAGTATATGTGTGACTGAACAATTTAGACATAGTCACCACAAATGAAATGTTAGCTCTGGGATCCAAGAATCATTGAATTGAATTGAATTATTCAACATGGGTGCATAATTCTAGACGCTGAGCCTTAGGATTACCACTTGTTCAGTATGTTACTGATACATATGCTGGTATGTTTTTCATGCAACAAGGAAGATGCATGGCAGTAATGTATTAAGGATTAGTCTGCTGGAGTCAGAGTGCACCTGCCAAAAATTTAGCAAAGTTGATGGAGCACTGGGTCCTCGCAGGGGAATAGATTTACCTCTGTCTGCACTTCTTATTATAGTTGTCTAGGATGCATTATTCATTTAGACATTTTATCCGCATTAACTGCCTAATATTTACCCATCATGTCTTACTGGTTTTCAGATTGTTGCCACAGGAGTCTGCCGTACTGATGCCCATGCTGTAAGCACCCATTTTAAAGAGGGTCTTTTTCCAGTGATCCTCGGCCACGAGGGAGCTGGTGTTGTGGAAAGTGTTGGACCAGGTGTCACCAAAGTAAAGCCAGGTAATATCCTAGAACACAATACCTTTTATGATTACAAAGTAATGCCTGTAGAGTCCTATGCTCTGTTTCTGTAAGTGTTGTGTGTGATTGATGAGTGCTATATGTGGGTGGGGGGACTGAGTGTTGTATGTGAGAGTGTTTGTAGCGGCTGATTGTGTATGTTGGAGGGAGAGGCTAAGTATGTCTGAGTTTGCTTGTTGAGTGGTGTGTGTAGTGGTTAAATTTGGTGTGTGGAGTCTGAGTGGTATGTGTGCATAGGGGAGACTGAGTTTGACTGAATGTTGTGTGTAACGTTTCGTGTGATGGGATTTTTAATCTTCCCTAGTCCTGCTTAGCTTTTGGAAGGAGGGGTGTAATCCCTGGTGGTCCAGTAGAGGGTTAGCTGAGGAGCTGAATCCCTGGTGGATCGGTGAGGGAGCATTGTGGTCTCACCTCTATTGGGTATAGATCACTTTAAGAATGATTGAGTGATACTAGAGGACTGTGAGAAAGTTCTGTACCCAATATAGGGGCAGTCCATAAAGCACTCTTGTTGAAGTGAGGGGGCACAATGCTAAACAGTGTAATCTTTTGCTGTCTCATGGAGGGCTCCCTCACAACCAGAGCTAAATCTCCAGACCCAGATATGGGCCCACTAGGTAACCATTGTGATCTGCACTTTTATCAGTTGAAAATCACTTTAACAGCTCCCTCAGAGCGCTGACTGCGGCATACAGAGTCATTGAAAAGCACCAGAGGCCATGAGGGAGTTCTTAAAGTGTTTTTCATCCAATACAGGTGCATACAACAAAGATTCCTCAATGTTCTAAGAAGGCACAGGGAGCATGATGATTTTTTGCTGTCTTGTTAAGGGCCCTCTTACAGTCTGTCTGAGCCTGGGCTTTAGGCAGCTGAATATGCCACTTTATGCATAATCTGACTCTGAGAAACAGAACCTGATTAAGATTGCCCAGGGCCATAAGCAGAATGTACAGTTTGGCTTCATTCAAGAGCCCTGGGCTCTGTTATGTGAATGGAGGAGTCTAAGTGGTGTGTGTATGTACATGTGTGAATTGGCTGAGTGTCTGTGTGTGTAAAGAAGACGGAGTGTGGCTGTGTTTAAAGAAGGCTAAGTGTTGTATGTGTAAGGAAAACGCTGAATGTCCTGTGTGTGGTGGTTGGGTTTTGTGCGAGTGGTTGCTGATTGTGGCTAAATTTTCTGTGTGGAGGAGTGTGGCTGAGTATTGTTTGTGGGAGGGAGAAGGTGCTTTGTGTGTTAGAGGAGAAGGCTTAGTATGTGAGAGGGGACCCTCCCAACACACCTTCACTTTTTTAAATTTGCCTCTCCTGCTAACCTTTTGACAAGAATGGAGTGTTATCCCTGTTGGTTCAGTGTATGGCACAGTAGAGGAGCTGTATCCATGGTGGTATGGTGGTATGGTGGGGGAGCATTGTGGTTGTCACCTCTACTAGGTGCAGGTCACTTTAAAAGTTCCATTGCAAACTGCAAATTCATTGTGTATTGTGTCTTCTAGGTGACAAAGTCATTCCTCTCTATATCCCCCAATGTGGTGAATGTAAGTTCTGTTTGAATCCCAAAACCAACCTTTGCCAAAAAATCAGGTAAGATCAGTCTGTCTGACCATTTGTCTACTTATTTATCTCGCTAGCTTGCTTTCTATTTAGCAGCATTATTGATGGTTAGGTAGATACACATTATATTTACATATAATGAGGTGCAGTCGGGCTGTAATTTCTCTGCACCTAGTGAAAATTAGATGTGCCATGCAAACATTTAAAGGCATGTGATGGAGGGGGCAAATGGTAGCACCCATTTTGCCTTATCGGGGCCCTGACAGTGTGGCATAAGTGCAGATGACAGCTGGCCTGTTGACTCTACACGAGTCGGGGGGGGGGGTTACATGGACTGGCAGATCCCTGAGAGCCCACTGTACTGTGGAGTTCCCAGTGGGGGGATGTTGACTAGCATGGGGGAGCAGTGGGTGGCCTCCACCCCAGGTGGTCTGTCGGCAGTATTGAATGCATGGTCTCAGACATATTGTGTTGTCCCTTTTTCTGCTTTGGGGTTAGGGGAGAGGATGGGGAGCTGTAAGACAACCATATGTACAGTTGTAATCAAAATTATTCAAGCCCCAATGAAAATCAGGATTTTTGTCAAAATATAAAGACTTTCAGCTGTTTGCAATGAACAAATGAAACAAAAGCAATCGAAATAGCTCAATACAATGAATGCTTCAAGTGGTTTCCCCAAATTCAATGGAAAATGCAACTTATAATAACTTCTCCACTCTCAAAATTATTCAACATTCTGAATAGAATCCCTCAAAACAGCACAAATATAAAAAAACAGGTGTTGTCTCAAGCAAACCTGATGCAACTAATCAAGGGCTTTATTAGTTGCACCATTTGTGCTTGAGCTGGAACACTTGAAATACCTGAACTGGCTACAGGTTTGTTGAGTGTTACGTTTGACTGCATGTTAGAAATATGGCCGCAAAGTTTAGAGAAGAGATCATTGCTCTTCCCAAATAAAGAACACAGTGCAAATAATAGCAAAGGCACTGAATATTCTAGAGACAATGTTGGAAGCATAGTTCGCAAGTTCAAAGTTGAAGGAACAGTGGTTCCACTACCTGGACGGGGCAGAAAAAAGAAGCTATCAATTACCGCAACCAGATTTCTGAGAAGGCAGGTTCTGAAAAACCTTTGAGTGACTTCAAAAGACCTGCATCAAGACTTGGTGGCAACAGGCACTGAGGTTTCAGTGAGCACAGTAAGACCAGTATTAAACGCAGAAGGTTTCCATGCCAGAACTCCAAGACATACACAACTACTGAGCCTAAATCACAAGAAAAGTCAGATCCAATATGCTCAAAATTATATAAATAGGGAGGCGGGGCCTGTGCATCATGGCAGTTGGTCACATTTCCAGTGAGCCCCTCACCTAGCTCCTAGATCCTAGAATTAGTCTACTGGTGTCTGATTGGCTCAAATCTTACCTTATTTGTAGACCTTGGCCTGTTACCCCATGAGGCTGGTATGCTCTGACAAATCGAGTGAGGCCTAATGGAATTGCTAGACCTGTGTGTCTGTCCACTCCAACATTGCATAGTACTCTACCCTCACACAGGCCACAACGTTGCCCCATTTCCACCTCTCTGGACCAGTAGAGGTTTTCCCGGGCCCCACTGGCTTCTATCACATACCTGTGCTGATTTCTGCAAAGTGCTGAAACTGACCCTCCGAACACAGTGACTTACACTAACATGGCAGACTCGCCTTCCACTGCTGAGTAAGCTACTACACAGCTCTACGCTGGCTCTGTGGAGCGGTCTTTACAACAGCTTCTCTGTGGTTACGGAGCAATGTATGGCAACCAGAGCGCATTTCTAAAGGAGAAATGGAGGGGCGAGGGCCGGGGGTTGAGTGGGCCTTCTGCGGGCATTGCCTTCCTACATAGATCAGACAACCCGCTGAGGTTGAGGGCCAACAGGGGCTCAACCCTGAAGCATACTCCACACAGACGGGTAGCGAACCGCAACCAATGGTGACAGACCATCAGGACCTTCAGTTATCCATCGCTCTAAGGTGGACTTGGACTTTCGAAGTATCCGAGTTCTTGGCATGTGGATGCTGGCCCTCATACAGGCCTGGGGCTGGAAGGTGGCCTTATCTCACTCAGAAATGCCGTTGTCTTCAAGGACTTCCTTGTTATTACCACAGGTTCACCCTGCCTAGGAATAGGCTGATCATGGACTTACTATTATGAGTAACCCTACGTGCTGAACTCTGCCCTTCATTAGAAACCATGTTGCCCCTCTCTAACTTCTCTCAGCTTGTTTTTGCAGACCAGTATGGTATTTGCTTTTGTTTTCTCTCTTTTCTTTTTCGTTTATTCTTTTACTCATGTGTTCTTCTATTTGTGTGTTAATGAGACAAGCTCCAGCGGCTAATTTAGCATGGTAGTCTAGTTTGATTACTCGTGAGCATTTTGCCTTTAATCACTTACAGCCCAAGCTGACACTGCTTTTGATCTACACAAAACTTTGCTGCTCAAGTAGTTCAGTTACAGCACTGGGTTTCTCTAGCCTGTTTAAGTTTTGTTCTAGTGTTAACTACTAACAATTGTTAATTTTAAAAATGAGGCTGATTTACTCCGGAGTACATTTTATACAGCATTATTACTGCATACATGATGTATGTTTACCTGCCATGACTCAATTCTGTACCATTTTCTTTATTGCCTCAAATAAAAGAAAGATTGACAAAAAAAATTTAATAAATAAGCCACAGAAGTGTGTCTGGAGGAAGAAGAATGAAACATATGCTGAAAAGAACACTCTGCCTACAGTTAAGCATTGTGTTGGCTCGGTGATTCTCTGGGGCTGCTTTGCATGGTCTGGCACTGGAAATCTGCAGCTTGTGGAAGGCAAGATCGATTCGTTGATGTATCAGGAAATCTTACGAGAAAACGTCATGCCATCTGTAAAGAAGCTGAAGCATGGGCGTCATTGGACCATCCAACAATGATCCCAAGCATACCTCAAATTCCACCAAAGCTTGGTTGCTGAAGAAATCCTGGAGAATTCTACAGTGGCCATAACATAATTGGTTGGATTTAAAGCAGGCGGTTGCAGCACGCAACCCAAGATTATTACTGAACTGGAGTTCATTGCTCATGAGCAATGGGCTAAGATTCCTTAAGGAACACTACCAGAAGCTGGTGTCTGGCTATGCATCTTGTTTGCAGCAGGTCATAACAGCAAAATGGTGCTTTACTAATTACTAAAGATGCTTGCCATGAAGTGGTTGAATCATTTTGAGTCATTATAAGTTGCATTTTCAGTTGAATGTGGGGAAACCACTTGAAGCATTTGTTGTGTTGAGCTATTTCAATTGCTTTTGTTTGATTTGTTCATTGCAAACAGCTGAAAGTTTGTAAATTTTGACAGTAAACCTGATTTTCAATTGAATTCGACCTTTGCTTCTCTGCAAAACCTCACATTTCCAGGCTATGCAGAAGGAGAAAAGAGTTTTATTGTTCTGTAGACATATAATAAACCATGGGGCAAAAGGCTGTGTAGTCTATAAATACCACCAGAGTCCTAAGATTGAATTACGTTCTCATAATACACGTCACTAATATGTATCTTTTATAGAACATGATGTTTGAAAATTAGGGTTTGTATTTGTCAGAGGGATTGCATTGCAAAAAAACAGGGGCTTCTGCCCAAGAGTAATTTGCGACAGGACAAGTATTTCCCAGATCTTACTGAGATTAGGGCCCCTGAACTGCTCAGAGGAGAAGCATGTATTATATCCCATAAATATTTGCACAGATGACTATTCATATTGTATCGTATTCCAAAATATCAAATGCCTGGTGAAGTGGGCAGATAATGATATATTCTGCATTATGACTTGGTATTATAAAATATACGTGCATTGTGGTATGTGGTGGAACCTAGCAAATCAATGATACAGTGCAACTATAATACTAAGCTTTTTTTCTTCTATTTATATTAAGTACTTTGTCATGTTTACTTAGTAGTAATCAGCCAGACTGGAACGTGTATAGAAAATTGTAACACTGCATACTTGACTTTAGGTTTCAAACCTATGTGTGAAAAAGAAAATTAGAAATATAGTTTGATGATTGTAATATTGCAAATATTCTTTTGTACTTTCAACAGCAAAATTAAGACTGCCATTTCTGATCAAGACCTAATGGCTGACAATACAAGCAGGTTTACCTGCAAGGGAAAGCAAATATACCACTTCATGGGCACCAGTACCTTCTCTGAATACACCGTCTGTGCTGAAACTTCTGTTGCCAAAATTGATGATGCAGCTCCACTTGATAAAGTTTGCCTGATTGGCTGTGGATTCTCTACTGGGTATGGTGCAGCTATTAACACTGCCAAGGTACTACCGTATGAATCATCCATTGTACAGTGATACAGAAATGTGAGTTGTGAATTGAGAAAGATACAGAAGAGGTGTTTAGAAACATATGTTGTGGAACAAAACTCTAAAAGTGGAGCGATTTATTATGGACACCAAGACAAAGTACTTGTTGATTGTTCCATGTGTAGAATTCTGCACCATATGAGCAGTATAAAGTGAACTTATTAGAAATGGTACGTATGTATTTAACTGAGTCACTTGAAAATTAGCAACCCGCCCAAACACATTAAAATACTTACAGCCACAAATAAACTTTATCTAATTTGCTCCTATAAAGCTCCCTGTGTTTAAATATTTTTTTATTTCTTTCCTGAGCACTCAGTTTTCATTAAATACATACAGAAAAGTTGAGATGATGTTTCCTTATGTATAGCTGTAAAGTTGACAGACCTTCACAATCAGATTTGACAAGTTGTCAATTTGCCAAATCAGATTTACCCACAATCCATACATTAAAAGAATCACACAGAAGGGCAAACTGCAAAATTTATGGTAGAACAAAATGGCTGCGTCCAGATATTAATATTAGGAAGAGAAGATTATAAATGAAATAAAAGTAGTAAGGGATGAATTATAATCATTGAAGTACACTGTGTGCAAACAGCTAAATTTATGGTAGAACAAAATGGCTGCGTCCAGATATTAATATTAGGCACAGGGAAGAGAAAATTATAAAGGAAAGAAAAGTAGTAAGGGATGAATTGTAATAATTGACGTACACTGTAGGTCCACCCAGACCACTACATCCTCTGTCTGTTCAAATTAAACAATTGCCCTTCTGCAGGAATATCAATGTTTACATTGATTGATGCAGTGTGTTGTTTTTGTCATGTATGTGCGCTAGCCTCCCAAGGAAAACCAAAAGAAAAAACATCACAGGATCACTTTAATGTTAGAATCTTATCTCTATAACTATTGCGCAGTAGACCAATTAGGTGCACCTATGTTGTATGTTACCTGGCACAATGTCACAATCTTGAAGGCATTAACACTATGCAATTTACAATGTATGTCAGTAGTTTCTAGCTTTTACGGATAGCATGGTTCTTGTTTGATATCAATCGGAAGTATTCTAGAATTTTAATTTGGGCAAAAACCTTGCAAATACATAGGTTACATAGTTACATAGGCAGAATAGAGACATGTCCATCACATTCAGCCTTCCTCACATTTATTTTTTGCTGTTGATCCAAAAGAAGGCAAACAAACAGTTTGAAGCACTTCCAATTTTGCAACAAACCAGGAAAAAAATTCCCTCTTGACCCCAGAATGGCAGTTAGATTTATCCTTGGCTCAAGAAGCTATTACCCTACATTGAACAATTATATCCTTGAATATTCTGTTTTTGCAAGTATGCATCTAGTTGCTGTTTAAACAGCTGTACGGACTCTGATAAAACCACTTCTTCAGGCAGAGAATTCCATATGCTTATTGTTCTTACGGTAAAAAAACATTTCCTTTGCCTTAGACTAAATCTTCTTTCTTCTAGTCTAAACGCATGACCTCGTGTCCTATGTAAAGTCTAGTTTGTGAATAGATTTCCACACAATGGTTTGTATTGGACCCGGATAAATTTGTATAATGTCATCATATCCCCTTTTGCAACATTTTTCTAAACTAAAGAGGTTTAAATTTGTCAACAATTAGGTGAGAATAAATTAGTTCTACGTCTTCTTGTTTTGCAATTCATATTTAATGGAACACTTCTAAATATGGTCTTTTACAGAAGAGCATTATTTAATATTATATAACCTTCACCAAGGGCATAAGAATTCAAGTTTATTATGTGTGGTTAAAGATGTCTACGTTGTATATTAAGAGTGCTAAAATATCTTACACTATTATTAAATTAAAATATAGAGGTATCCAGAAAGTAGATGGAAAGATCTGCATAACAAAATAATTCTTAATAGCAAACATACAACATAAAAGTGATAAAGTACAGTTGTTAATACAGCAACTGTGTCTTACTTTCGTATTTCTCCAGGTAGAGGCAGGTTCAACATGTGCTGTGTTTGGTTTGGGAGGAGTTGGGCTCTCGGCTGTCATGGGCTGTAAAGCAGCAGGAGCCACTCGGATCATCGGCATTGACATTAACAAGGATAAGTTCCCTAAAGCCCTAGAGCTAGGAGCCACCGAATGCATCAACTCAAAAGATTACGATAAGCCCATCCAACAGGTCATAAGTGAAATGACTGGTGGTGGTGTGGATTTCTCCATTGAGTGTATTGGAATTATCGAAGTCATGGTAGGTTGTTTTATAGACTTAAATATTTCACTTCTAGGGTTTTATTTTATTTTTTTGTCTCTTGTTTTACTTCTATCTATCTATCTTTGTATTTAATTACCTATAGTCATCCACCTGCCAGCTTTAATTACGTTAAAAAATATACTCTCTAATGATAACGTATTATGAGAGTAGAGTACTTTAATGTTATAGTCAAAAATTTTGCTCCTATATCCCAGGAGTCATTAATTTGGATATGAGATTACCGGTAATAGATATATGTGGCTTGAAATTAAACTAATTATTATGTTAATGGAATTACATATGTTTCATTCGTTTGTACATTCATTTGTACATACATACATAATTTAACTTTATTCTGTGTTTCAAATGCTCAAACTTAAAAAGTGAGGTTTTTATTTTTTCACATGCAGTTTTTTGTATTGATTGATTTATTTATTTATTTATTTGTATCTAGAAAGCTGCCCTTGAGTGCACCACAGTGGGCTGGGGTACGTGTGCAATTGTAGGAGTCTCATTAGCGGAAGGAGGAGTCCCTGTTGATCCATTCCAGTTGATAATGGGTCGGACCTTGAAAGCTACCTTCTTTGGAGGTAAATCATTTAAACAATATAACTATTAAAATATGCGCAGTGCTATTAGTTCAGATGTTTATCAGGAAGCATTATTTTGCCACTTGTGCTTAGTTAGTTCAATAAATAAACATTATTTTAGAATCAAAAGCTCTAGAACAGTGCACTATAATAAAATATTATTAATAATAATAATAATAATGTATGTTTGATTTAAACCCATGTCTCTTTATTTATTTTATTTGTCTAGGTTGGAAGAGTGTGGATAGTGTCCCAAAGCTCGTTTCTGACTATTTGTCAAAGAAATTTGATCTGGATGCATTGGTTACATTTACACTACCATTTGACAAAATTAATGAAGCTTTTGATCTAATGCGTGAGGGCAAGAGGTGAGCATATGCACATACCTTTTACTTTGGCCATACTAAACCATCAGTTGTGAAAAATAGACAATGAAACTGCAAGTTTTAGGGAAAAATAGTCAAGTTAGTCACTTAGTCACAAACACTGGCCAAATATTAGTTTTTTGCTTTTTTCACACAAAAACAAATATGAACGCTAACTTTGGCCAGTGTTTGTGACTAAGTGGCTACTAAAAAAGACTAAACATACCCCACTTTCAATACCTTGGGTTGTCTACTTTTTCAAATGGTATGCCATTATGGGGGTAATTCTCATTCCTGGGCTACCACACCGTCTCAAAGGTAACATTACTAATCTGGCAAATTTCAATTTGAAAATGGAATGTTCTATATTTGACACTGTAACTTTCCAAAACACCATAAAACCTGTTAATGGGGGGTACTGTTGTACTCGTGAGACATCGTTGATTACAAATATGTGCATTTTTTTGCAGTAAAACCTAACAGTATTATGACATTCACAGCTAAAATGTCAGACGGAAATACAATTTTAAAAATAAATCTTATTTTCTCACATTTTTTAAAATTTTATTCATAATAAATTATGTTCCATATATGAATAGTTAATGATAAATTAAAGCCCTGTTTCTCCTGAACAAAATGATATATAATAAGTGTGGGTGCACTTAAAGGACCACTCTAGGCACACAGACCACTTCAGCTTAATGAAGTGGTCTGGGTGCCAGGTCCAGTTAGGGTTAACCCATTTTTTTATAAACATAGCAGTTTCAGAAAAACTGCTATGTTTATAAATGGGTTAAGCCTTCCTCCAAAGCCTCTCATTGACAGCCGCTAGAGGCGCTTGCGTGCTTCTCACTGTGAAAATCACAGTGAGAGCACGCAAGCGTCCATAGGAAAGCAGCTCTTGCCGCGCGTGCACATTCAGCCGAATGGGCGGAGAGGAGGAGGATCGGAAGAGGAGAGCTCCCCGCCCAGAGCTGGAAAAAGGTACGTTTTTACCCCTTTCCCCTTTCCAGAGCTGGGCGGGAGGGGGTCCCTGAGTATGTTTTCCTGGCACTATAGTGGTCCTTTAATGTGACAGCGGTGAATTACGGTTGAACAGACATATAGCGCAAATTCCAGTTTTTGTTTACGTTTTGTTTTGATCAGAACGTGCACTACTGACTCCGTCCTGAAGGGGTTAAACATATGAGAAGAATTTTAGTATAGCTTTACGGCTTCAGCAAATTATATGTGTTGATTTTGTCTTGCTTATGTACAATTAGTATGTGTACATTTTGGGCAAGGTCTAGATATGCATTTGCAACAGCAATATCGCATGTACAGCTGAAATGGAGGTGATCTGTCCACCTAAACTAAAAAGAGAGTTTAAAGGTTCTAAATAAAAAAGTTGGCAAGCCTATAGGGCCCCTATGCTCGTGGCATGCCCAAGTGTTAAGACAGCCCTGGGAACGGGGAAGGAAGAGATCAATAGACCACAAAACATGCAAGTAACAAATACACAGAAACAATAGGGGTATAACAGACACAGAGAGAATAGGGGTATGCAGCAATACAAACACAAACCAGAAAAAGAGCAAATAATAAAAGTACATGCAATTCTATCCACAGCCAGAATTAAGATAATTATCAAAGAGATCATCATCAAAGAAATAGGAGTGGCTTAGGGTCACATGTGAATATATAAGCTGTGAGATGATGTGATTGGCTACTACTATCAATATACATGGTTGACCCTTTCTGTGTTTCTTCTCATAGTTTAGATATGTTTTCTCTTTGCTGCTGAGGAAATAAAATAAATTATATTTGCCTTTGTATCTTCTAATAAAATTACACGTTTATCACATACAGTGGGTATGACATAAACAGATAAAAATGGTCATGTACACTACTAATGGATATTCGTTTGCACCCTGATGGCACTGTTAGCAAAAAGAATTTGCAAAGAATTTAATAGTAATGTTTGTATTTGAGCAAGAAGCAGTATAACAGCATGTATTTATTTTTATATTATTCTAAGAGGCACATGAGCCCTCCTGACCTTTTGAGGCCTCCCTGGGGACTCTTTCTCCAACAGCCAGCCACCTCAACATTGAAGATCTAGATTCCAGCCACAGTGTGTTGTGTGGGAGATGGAGAGAGGACATATCATATGACACTGTCATGTCTGCCACCTCTCCACACAGGACACTCTTCCACTGTGTGCAGGAACTTCAGAGATGAAGTGGCTGGTTGGAGAAGAAAGATAGTACAGGCATGGATCTGCTATTGACAGCTAGGCACACAACATGAAGGAAAGATAATTGGGGCTGATTCCGGGTAGACGCAAGGGGAGAGAAATTAAAAAAAAAAAAACGGGGTGAGGCTGAGTTATATACATATTGAATCGCATTTCAAAACAAATGAATTGATCTCACTGAAATATTTCCAACATTTGTTTTTTTTCTCCTCTAGTATTCGAACTGTGTTGGTGTTTTAAGTGCACCCAACTTGGAATCATGGATTGATCTTTTGGTCCTGAAATGGAATCTGCCTCTCACAGCAAAAGCTTGCAAGCAGAAGATATATACTATAGCATTTTCTGTTATCTATACCCTTCCAGTTATAGGAATTGAACCGTGTATTTGTAGCCCACGTGCCTCTATAGAATAAATGTGCACTCTGTATTAAATGTTACTCTAGTACACCCTGGTGGACAGAACAGAAAATGTTACCTAGATACATCTAAATGGTACCACCATAGTAGTCACTTTTGCTATTCCACTGACTGTGAACTAATTGTAAACTCATTGTAAACGTTCTAACAGCTACCACTGTAAGAGTTATCTGCATGACATTTTATGGTACAATAAATATATAAATAAGTTTCTGTGCAGCAATATTTTATGTATACAAAACAAAATGTCTGTCTCTGGTTTCACTCGGATTTCTCAGCACACAAACTATTTGTGAAATCTCTCCATCCCATTGCACATTATTAAAGAAAAGTATTCAGAACATAAAACAGACTATTGTTAGACTAATACAGACTGGACATACCCCCAATTTGAATACACTGGGTTGTCTATTTTCACAAATGGTATGCCATGCTGGGGTTAATTTTCATTCTTGGACTTCCATACAGTTCCAAAGGCAACATAGGTCCAGCAAACCAGTCTCTGAATTGCCATATATTTGATCATTTGAACAATTCTACCCCTTTGCATATTGAAGCATAGTATAGAATGTGAAATTTGGTGTGGTGATAGAGTTGTTAATGTAATCTAATCATTTCATGAGTGGTTGATTATTTTGAGCTCTAATCAGAAAATAAAACAAAATACACCCATAAAATATACATTTATTTTTAGTTACATTAATCACCTTTATGATTGCAATGCACATTGTGTGCATTAATGGCTGAGACGGTTTTTGAATTTAATTTAGTGCATCCACACAGTATTGATATTTACGTAACCATTTGAAGGCTTTGTTACTGAGCTGTGTCTGGGCTCAGTGCGGAAGAGAATTTAGCCTATTTTTGTGTAGTACATAACATTGTTATTTCTTTTCGGTAACCTTACAAATCATATATTGCATTTATTCAGCAAAAGTTGCCCATTTGACATATATAGTATCGTCTATTTTTGGATAATCTCCTGTAAGCATTCACGGGGGGGCGTGGCTGACTAAGAAGCTGTTTGGACAAGTGTTAATTTTAGCAGCAAATTTCAATGTAGTTTTAGTCAGTCTTTTGACTAAAAAGCCATTTTAGTTTTAGATAACAAAATACGGAGGCAGCACTCCTAAAAATGGGAAATTCTCTCCAAAAACCCTTATAACAATAGAAAAAATAAAAAAAGGGAAAGGATGAGTAAGATAGGATATTATACAAAATAAAATACTTAAAAAAACGCAATTGATAATAAAACAGGTACCCAAAGGGCAATTAGCAGCAGTCCCAAAAATAAAAGTCTTTAGGGCGAATGAGGATTCTTAATGGTATCTTCCAAGATACCATTATCTTGGTATCTTCCTGATATCAGGTTCTCTGTCGAGAAGCCTGCACCGCTGAGGCTGGCCAAGAGACCTCGAAGGACTCACAAGAGGAGGGGGAATCCCTTACCTTGTCACGATCTGGCGAAGTATAAGACAGATCTAAACCAGATGAAGATTCATCCCCATCCACAAAAAGGGGATATGCAGTGGCTGTTAGTAGACGTGAGATAGATCTGGAAAGCTGACCTCCAAGAGACCCAAGCAGAGTTGGGGATCTTCCAACAGAAGGTGTAGAAAAAAAAAGGAGACCACAAGGGATTGCCAAATCCAAGAAACCAAACACTAGTTGGGAAGCCTGGTCAAGCAGACACAGCACATGCATAAAATGGGCAAGCAGGCCCAACACATGCATAAAATGGTGTCCATGCTTGAAAACACAGCCGCCCACAGCCGCCAAAAAATCAGTCTGAGGGGAGAAAAATAGCAAGAGAGGTGAGAACGGACTAAGAAAATACATGTAATTAAGTGTGTTTTCATTCCTTGACTAACCTGAAATTTCTGTTTGCCGCTTCATACCCATGTATGATGTTTTCTCTATTTGTCTATTTACATAACTTATAATTCATATAATGATGCAGTTGTGTACAATATGCACAAACGTTAAAGATAAACATTTTTTTTTTTAAATGGACGTATCAATAAAATACATATCAAATAACAGTGTATTAATGTACTTTTCCTGCATTGTTTTTTCAATGGGAGTTGGTTCACATTCCTAAAGTTTTAACAAATAGGATTACTTCATTTTATCCATATTGGATAAAAACATAAAAACATGAACAATTGATAAAGTGGTGACAAAAGAGTATTTCTTTCTTTGCTTTGCTTCATTCTTCTTTTCATCTGCAAAGTAAAAAAAGAATAAATGTATCCAGTTATTGCTAATAAATTGAAGAACTTCACAAAATAACATTCTAAGAGTATAAACTTAGAAGAACAATCTATGCTCTAGTAGTGGCTATCATGCCAGGGGTGACCTTGTGCTGTCCAACAGTAAAATGTCAAACTGTATTAGCACAGTTTGCCCACATATGTAGGTCATGCCGAGCACCCATGGTACATCCACTGTCTTCAGTGTTCTCAGGCAGGAGAATCCTGTTGGTTCTGGACAGCAAGCGAACCTTGCTCTAAGTAGTGATACCTGGCTTCTCATGTTGGAGAACATGACATATACTGCATGTGAGCCCAGCAGGACCAACATGAGTTAATTAATAATACTAAAATGATCGACACCTTACTGTGGGATAGTAAGGTGTCGATCATTTTACCTCTAATATTTGTCTTTCTAATAGGTTTAATAAACTAAGGAATTTAGGAGAAGAAGACTATCCTCTTTTTTTAGAGAGGAGTCTGGAAAGGGAAAGAGGGAGGAGAAAGGAATTATATACCCCAAGAAAACGAGACAGGGAATTAGAAGAGGGAGAAATAGAGAGTTTAAAAGAAGAGAAAAGGAGGAAAGAGGAGAGAAATTGGAGGAGATAATACCCAATGAGGATGAAAAAGGTTTTAGAATTTTTAATTTATCACAAAAAGTTTTAACTAATGCACATATTCAAGTTTTAAACAAGGGTTTTAAATTTGCACCAAGTTGGAATATTAACAAATTTGAATCATTTTTAGATCTAAATAGATTTACTAGGAAGCTGTGCCTAAAAAATTTCTTTAGCACAATGCCACTTAATAATATGAATGTGGAAGAAAGTGCTTTTAAACATACAAGTTTAAAGAATAGATCCACTTTTTATCCTGCCAATTTCAAGACAGACTCAATGAAGATTTTTGAAAAATCGTGTCTTAAAGAGATTAGAAAAATTAAACCCGTGAATAAATATCAAAATAATCTCAGCATGGGGGAAAAAAATGCACTTAGTGATTTACAGAAAGACCGGAATGTGGTAGTAAAACCAGCGGATAAAGGGGGGGAGTAGTTATTTGGGAAAAAGAAAAATATTTGAAAGAAATATATAGACAATTGCAAGACCAAACTACATATATGACCCTTTCTAAAAATCCGATGACAGAAATTTCGTCATCCTATAAAAACCTTTTGAATAAAGGTATAGAAGAAGGGATTTTAAATAAAAAAGAGTTTGATTTTTTAAATGTCAATTTTCCTAGAATTCCCGTTTTATATATCCTCCCCAAGGTGCATAAAGATGAAAATAATCCACCAGGGAGACCCATTGTCTCAGGCATAGGGTCACTTTTATCTCCCCTATCACAGTATATAGACCATTTTTTACAAGATCCAGTAAAAAAATGTAAAGCATATCTTAAAGACACAATGAGCCTTTTAAATATTTTAGAAGATTTTAAATGGAAAGATGGGTTTATAATGGCTACCTGTGATGTAAGCAGCCTCTACACGAATATTCAACATGAGAAGGGATGTGAGGCTGCTACATATTTTTTAAAGAAATTTGGTGATTTACCAGAATCACAGATTGAATTTATTGTAGAAGGGATTAATTTCATTTTGAGGAATAATTTTTTTTGGTTTGAAGATAAGTTTTATTTACAGACCAAAGGTACGGCTATGGGGACCAGGTTTGCCCCAAGTTATGCTAATCTTTTTATGTCTTACTGGGAGGAAATATTTATTGACTCCAGTGAAAAATTTGGGGCAAATCTGGTCCTCTATAAACGTTACATCGATGACATTTTTATAATATTGAATGGAGATGAAGAATCCCTAAATAATTTTTTAGAATTTTTAAATTTTAACGAATGGAATATTTCCTTAACGTATGAATTTAGTTGTTTTAAGGTGAATTTTTTAGATTTATTAATTTATATAGATAATCAACAAATAAAAAGTAAAACATATTTTAAAACAGTGGATGTAAATAGTTTTATAGATTGTACAAGTTGCCATTTTAAACCGTGGCTTGAAAATATTCCAAAAGGACAAATGCTGAGATTAAAACGAAATTGTACTGAAAAGGAAGAATATGAACAACAAGTAGGTTATTTACAGAAGCAATTTAAAGAAAAAGGATATAAGGAAAAATTTTTAAAACGGGTTTCTGAAGAGGTTGAGCAAATAGATAGAAAACAACTTTTGAAATATAAAGAGAAGGGTAATTTAAGAGAAGAGGATAATAAAGTTCCATTGATTTTTAATTACTGTACAAATAATCTGGATTTAAAGAAAATTATAGATAGTAATTGGCACATTTTAAAAACAGATGATAAAATATCAAATTTTGTTGGTGAAAAACCAAAAATAATTTTTAGAGGTGCAAAAAATTTAAAACAAATTTTAACAAAAAGTTTTTTAGATGTGGATAAAAGCATTAATTTTTTAAAACAACCTAAGGGCTTTTTTTATTGTGGAGTATGTAGGGGGTGTAAATTGAGGAAAGATCAACATAAAAAGATTTTTAAGTTTACATCAAATGCCACAAAAAAAGAATATAATATTAAGTCTTTTATTTCTTGCAATAGTAAGGATGTGATATATATGCTAATTTGTCCTTGTGGTCTGCAATATATAGGGAGAACCTCACGGTGTTTAAAAATTAGGATTAGAGAACATATTTACAACATTAATCGGAAATATGAAAATCACAGTGTATCGAAACATTTTCTAGATCATCATAATGCAGATCCAAAAGGTCTAGAGTTTTTTGGAATAGAGCAGATTAAGATACACTGGAGAGGAGGGGATAAAGAATGTCTCCTCAATAGAAATGAAATGAAATGGATTTTTGATATAGACACTTTAAGTCCACAAGGACTAAATGTTGACTTTGAGATCACCCCATACATATAATCGATCTATTTTGTATCTTTAATATATATATGCACTTTTTTAGTTTTAAATTGCCCCTTAAATTTATATATTGTTCTTATATTTATGTTTTTATATATTATTTATATAAATTTATGTATAGGAGAATTTTTTAACTCCTTTCTCGATTATATAGGGTTGATCTCATAGTTTTTGAATATCTCTCTTTTTTTCAAATAATTTGTACCTGTATATAAATTAATTTATATATCATTTTCTCTTCCCCTCTTTAAGAAGAAAAATTATAAAAAGTATATTAATGGTTTATATGTTTAATGGTCTAATATTGCTATAAATGATGATTACAAAGATAGTTTTTCTTTTCTTTTCATTTTATGGAAACTATTGTAAATGAGTTCTTAATGGAGTTAAGAGTTTGTTTTTTGCCAATAATTTGTTGAAAAAAGACATTACAAGTATTGGCAATTTCTGCCGAAACCGGAAGATCGAAAACCGGAAGTGATGTCACCGGAAGTTCCGTCATGACGCCGAAACCGGAAGTTGCGTCAGAACGTGAACCGGAAGTGAAGGACTAAGGTGTAGGATGCCATCCAGACCCGGAAGAAGATCAAAGGAGGACACAAAAACGTGCAAAAAGGCGCCAAAAAAAGGGCGCCAAAACGAATATTTAAAGACTGAAGCATACTGAGGAAAACAGACTTTTGATAAAGGCTCTAGCCGAAACGCGTTAAGTTTGTTTTTATATAGTGGACTTTTAATTTATTTTACCCAGTGTTTTGTTTTTACCCCTTATGATAGTGTGTCCAATAAAGTTTTATTTTATTCCCTGCATCCTGGAATATTTTAATTACAAATAGAGACCACAAAGGGGAAACAGCCTGGTGTGTGAAGTACCACAAACGGATATTTTCTACGCTTTTAGTCTGAGCCAGCTTATTTTAAGTGGCTCATGACCATGTGAGTGAAACCTTATTTGTTTTATAAATTTTAAGGTTTTTTACGTTATTACCCTATGTGTGTTTTTTTCCTGTTCTTACATATTTTATACAGGAATTAATTAAATACGGAGTATATCTTTCAACTAAGGGTAATTATAAGTGTTGTTTGGAGTGTGCCCTCACCTATTTCTTATTGCCCACATATGTAGGTCATGCCGAGCACCCATGGTACATCCACTGTCTTCAGTGTTCTCAGGCAGGAGAATCCTGTTGGTTCTGGACAGCAAGCGAACCTTGCTCTAAGTAGTGATACCTGGCTTCTCATGTTGGAGAACATGACATATACTGCATGTGAGCCCAGCAGGACCAACATGAGTTAATTAATAATACTAAAATGATCGACACCTTACTGTGGGATAGTGCCACTGCACTGCTGCCACAATAACCATTACAGCAGGCTGTAGTTGTTCAAGTAATAAAAAGAGAAAGGGGAGGGTACAAATCTCCCCTATTGAGGGCGCTAGTTACTGATGACAAAAGGATTTATGGTTAAAAATCCAAAATTTAATATACAATAAAAATAAAAGATAATAATAAAGCAGTACAATTATAAGACCAGTTATAAAAACAAACACCAGCCACTAGCTCACAAATACAAAGATACTTCGCATAGCCCTAGGTCGCGACTCATAGGGCTTGGAAATACTTGCGGCTCTCGGTACAATTGTGGAGGTGAAAAAACTGTCTCTGGACTGCTGTCTTAAAAACTCGGGCTCAACGCGTTTCGTCCCGCGCCTTTCGGGACTTCCTCAGGAGCTGTAAATGCTGTTGTTCCATTTGCCGGCTTCTTCTCTTTTAAATCTTCAAAGATCTTCTATATTCACGCCAAAAACCGTCATTGCGCATGCGCACACCGACACAAATTTCCGTTCAGCTACGGGTGCCCCCAAAGACCAGTAGCTATCGGGAAGTCATCGGCGCACATGCGCAGTCAGTTTGGAACGCACAGAAACTTTATTGGCACTGAGTACTGGACACTATATAACACTACATTGGTTAAAAGTGACCAAGAAACTCATCACAGTTGTGCCTGATTTTAACATAGTAAACGAATCCTTAGAGTTTACCACAAATGTATAGATAGGCATTATGAATTGGAAAATCTAAAAGCAATAGTGTCTACCAGGGCTATGGGTACAAAATATGTTGAATGTACATTGCATTTGCGGTAATCCTTACAGTCTAGATGAGACAATATAAATAGATAATTAGAACAGTTAAATAGAACTATTATGTTCTGAATATCTCTTAATAATTTTGTAAATCAATTAATTCAGACCCAATCTACTTATGTGTAAGATTATTTCATCTTGATATAAAGGAGAATAAAGTAATTATTATGGAAATCCAAAAATAACAATCATAACATTTACCATATATGGATATTGTGCAAAAAAAATAAAAATAAAAATGAAATATAAAAGTGAAAATGAATGAAAAAGAAAGAAAATAAATAAAAATAAATATAAATATAAATAAAAATAAAAAAATAAAAATAAATATAAAAATAAAAATGAAAATCAAATGAAAATCGAATCAAATGAAGTAAAACATAAGAAAATAAGCAGACTAATTTTTACATTTAATTAGTACAGTATATTACATAAAAGCCAAGATGTCTAGGTCGGTGTTCAGACCTAGAGGAGTGGAAGACTTCATTTTATAGATCCATTCTGTTTCTTTTCTGGCCAAAGTTTTAGTAGTGTCCCCGCCTCTCCAATGTGGAACAACCAGATCGATATCTATACAGATTAAATTATTCAGAGAAAAAATAGAACAACCATTACAGTGTCAAGGTACACTATGTTTTTCGCTTTTCTTCTTTATACCATTGAGATGCTCTAAAAGTCTCTCATGTAATTTGCGGATAGTTCGACCTATGTATTGTATTCCACATACACATTCTAATAAGTATACAACATTTTTGCTGCTGCATGTTATAAAATGTTTTATCATGAAACTCTCACTTGTAACTGTACTTTTAAAAGTTGTCGTTATTCTTTTTTGGAACTTACAAGTGCTACAGTTTCCACATCTATGGAAACCATTAGCTTTCTTTTTTAGAAAAGTTTCCTGTTTGTTTTCTAGCACTACTTTTGGCAGCATACTAGGTGCTAGAATTGTTTTTAAACTATCGGTCTTTTTATACACAATTTTCGGCTTCTTAGGTAATATTTTATAAAGATAAGTGTCCTGCAATAAAATCGGCCAATATTTTCTAAGAACTTTATCCATTTTATTTGCTTTATTGTTATACTTAGTGATAAATGCCATATCAAAAAAATTCTTCTCAAAATTGCTAGTTTTTGGTTTTACTTTTAAGATATCTTCCCTTTTTTTAATTTTTACTTCCTCTTGACTTCCTTCAAGTAATTCTTTTGGGTAGTTTCTATCCAAAAATCTTTTATTTAGAACTTGGACCTGACTATCAAAATCTTCCTGATTTGTACAATTCTTATATAACCTAGTTTGCTGACTCTTAGGGATATTCCATAACCATACGGGATTATGGCAACTAGAAAATTCAATGAGGCTATTACAATCCGTGGGTTTAAAGAAAGTTTTACTACAGATTATATTTCTCTCTATAAAGAAAGTTAAATCTAAAAGTTGATCTGTATATCTCCCATTTCTTGGGTAAAATTCAACCCATATTGTTAGAATTTACATAAACCATAAAGCTGTTGAACAGATGAATATCTCCCTTCCAAATAATAAGAATATCATCTATGTACCTTCTCCATAGCACCAGGTTTGCCCCAAATGGATTGTTATTCCAAATACATCTTTCTTCCCAATTCGCTACGAAGATATTGGCGTAGCTTGGGGCAAACCTGGTGCCCATGGCGCTACCACAGACCTGCAAATAATGAATACCTTCAAACCAAAAAGAGTTCTTATGTAAAATAAAGTCAATACATTGTAAAATAAATTCACTCTGTCTTTTAGACATTTTATTATCATTATCTAACATCTCTTTTACAGCAGCTATCCCTTTAATATGGTCAATGACCGTATATAATGATGTAACGTCTATAGTGACCCATAAGTAATCTTCCTTCCATTCCATTCCTTCTAATTCTCTAATTATTTGAGTTGAGTCTTTTACATATGAAGCTGCCAGAGTGACATATTTTTGTAGATAGATATCTACATATTCAGAGATGTTACTTGTGAGAGAATCAATACCACTAATAATGGGCCTTCCAGGTGGATCTTCCAGAGATTTATGAATCTTAGGTAATTGGTAAAAAAAACAGCCAATTTAAGGAACTCAATATAAAGATATTCGAACTCCATTTTTGTAATTATTTTCTGTTCTAATGCTTTAGATAATATAACATGTAATTCTGACTTGAATGTATTAGTTGGATTTTCTTTCAAAATTTTATAAGTCTTTACATCACTTAGAATTCTATTTGATTCTTTCAAATATTTGTCTCTATCCATAATTACAATCCCCCCGCCCTTATCGGCTTGTTTGATGACGATTTCTAATTTTTCCTTTAAGTTTTTTATTGCTTTTTTCTCATTTGGGGATAAATTTTCCTTCCCTTTTTCACTTTTGAGTTTCTCAAAGTCATTTAGCACCATACTACAAAAGACTGGAATATAGTCCCCTTTATCCCAGTTTGGAAAGAATTTTGATTTTGTTTTTAAATTAGAATTCACTATTGCGGGTCCATTTTCAACATTCTCTAGTGATACATTTTCTAAATTAGTAGTAATAGAATTAGGTCTCATATTGTCTTCAGCTTTCCTTTCAAAAAATCTTTTACCATTAGCTTTCTAAAAAATCTCTGAATATCCATAAATAATTCAAAATGATTGTTTTTTTTTTGAGGGGCAAATTTTAAACCTTTCCCTAATAGTTTAATTTCTTCCTTCGTCAGCTTATGTTTTGAAAGATTAAATATACCTACTTCCCTTTCATTTGGAACCTCTGTTGTTAGCAAAGTGTTTCGTCCTCCTCTTGTTCCCCTATTTCTATTCTTTGTTCCATTATACGTCTTCTCTTTATCGGGGTTGGTGTTTCCAGAGGTGCGAATCTGTTTTTGTGAACCCATAGATCTAAATTCTTGGGGGGTTGTCTTGCCTGGGCTAATTTTTTGGGGCTTTGTTGTATGGTTCTCCTTCCTAAAAAAAATTACTATTAGTGGATCTATCTTTTCCATATTCTATTTTTTTCCCCGTAGTAGTATTAGAGTTAGCTATTTTGTAGGTATTTTGTTCTCTATTTATTTTTTATTTTTGATTTCTAATCTGGGTTTGTTTTCCTTGATTATTAATGTAATTATCATACTGAGATCTTCTATCATGACTATAATCTCCAGATCTCTTTTGTTGGAACTTTTTGGATTGAAATTGAGATAAATTACGATTTCTGTTCCATTCATATTGAAATCCTTTTCCAAAATCTTCCTTATCTCTTTTCAACTTATTGTCCTTCCTAATAATAATCGTCTCTTCTAATTTTTCTATTTTCATTTTTAATTGTAAATTATACTCTTTTACTGACTCCTCACTAATTTCCTTATTAATATCAGCCTCCAATGTACAAATTTCCTTTTCAGTTTCAGCCAGAGCTTTTGATTGATGTTCTATAAGTAGCTCTATTAGCTGGAAAGAGCATATTTCTAAAATCTCTTTCCACCTAGACATGAATCCTTTGTCCTCATATCCATATGCAGGGGATTTATTTATCCTCAGTCCCCTGGGAATGATGCCCATCTTCAAATATTGTTGGAAATATTTAACTTCCCACCACTTTTTAACTTCTTTCTCCGCCAATCTTTCCAGTTTATTAAAGAAAAAAGTACTATTAAATTGTGGGTTCACATTTTTTCCAAAAAAGATGTTATCTGCTTTTTTATTTCTGGCTTCTTGCATAGAGGTGGTCATCAATCTGCAGTATGCCATAGTCTAAATAATGTATAATTAATAAACCAATAAAAGAATAAATGCACTAGAAACAGAATTATAGCTCAAACTATAAAAGAAAGTGCCAGAGGAGGTACTAGGGTTGAACAGTTCCAATGGATATACCTAGATCTGGATCTAAGGAGTGTTTATATAGACAAATGCAAGATAAAGAGAGATCCAGAGTCTAGGTTCTATAGATATGTCATATAGGTAAAAAGCTGCCACTCAGTAGTGCCAAAAGTAGTGCTAGAAAAAAAACAGGAAACTTTTCTAAAAAAGAAACCTAATAGTTTCCATAGATGTGGAAACTGTAGCACTTGTAAGTTCCAAAAAAGAATAACGACAACTTTTAAAAGTACAGTTACAAGTGAGAGTTTCATGATAAAACATTTTATAACATGCAGCAGCAAAAATGTTGTATACTTATTAGAATGTGTATGTGGAATACAATACATAGGTCGAACTATCCGCAAATTACATGAGAGACTTTTAGAGCATCTCAATGGTATAAAGAAGAAAAGCGAAAAACATAGTGTACCTTGACACTGTAATGGTTGTTCTATTTTTTCTCTGAATAATTTCATCTGTATAGGTATCGATCTGGTTGTTCCACATTGGAGAGGCGGGGACACTACTAAAACTTTGATCAGAAAAGAAACAGAATGGATCTATAAAATGAAGTCTTCCACTCCTCTAGGTCTGAACACCGACCTAGACATCTTGGCTTTTATGTAATATACTGTACTAATTAAATGTAAAAATTAGTCTGCTTATTTTCTTATGTTTTACTTCATTTGATTCGATTTTCATTTGATTTTCATTTTTATTTTTTTTTATATTTATTTTTATTTTTAATTTATTTATTTTTATTTATATTTATTTTTATTTATTTTCTTTCTTTTTCATTTATTTTCACTTTTATATTTCATTTTTATTTTTATATTTTTTTTTGCACAATATCCATATATGGTAAATGTTACGATTGTTATTTTTGGATTTCCATAATAATTACTTTATTCTCCTTTATATCAAGATGAAATAATCTTACACATAAGTAGATTGGGTTTGAATTAATTGATTTACAAAATTATTAAGAGATATTCAGAACATAATAGTTCTATTTAACTGTTCTAATTATCTATTTATATTGTCTCATCTAGACTGTAAGGATTACCGCAAATGCAATGTACATTCAACATATTTTGTACCCATAGCCCTGGTAGACACTATTGCTTTTAGATTTTCCAATTCATAATGCCTATCTATACATTTGCTACATTTGTGGTAAACTCTAAGGATTCGTTTACTATGTTAAAATTAGGCACAACTGTGATGAGTTTCTTGGTCACTTTTAACCAATGTAGTGTTATATAGAGTCCAGTACTCAGTGCCAATAAAGTTTCTGTGCGTTCCAAACTGACTGCGCATGCGCGCCGATGACTTCCCGATAGCTACTGGTCTTTGGGGGCACCCGTAGCTGAACGGAAATTTGTGTCGGTGTGCGCATGTGCAATGACGGTTTTTGGCGCGAAGATAGAAGATCTTTGAAGATTTAAAAGAGAAGAAGCCGGCGAAGGAACAACAGCATTTACAGCTCCTGAGGAAGTCCCGAAAGGCGCGGGACGAAACGCGTTGAGCCCGAGTTTTTAAGACAGCAGTCCAGAGACAGTTTTTTCACCTCCACAATTGTACCGAGAGCCGCAAGTATTTCCAAGCCCTAGGGCTATGCGAAGTATCTTTGTATTTGTGAGCTAGTGGCTGGTGTTTGTTTTTATAACTGGTCTTATAATTGTACTGCTTTATTATTGTCTTTTATTTTTATTGTATATTAAATTTTGGATTTTTAACCATAAATCCTTTTGTCATTAGTAACTAGCGCCCTCAATAGGGGAGATTTGTACCCTCCCCTTTCTCTTTTTATTACTTGTCTATAGGCTTTTTTTGGGGTGTGCCTATTCTGAGTGGCAGCTTTTTACCTATATGACATATCTATAGAACCTAGACTCTGGATCTCTCTTTATCTTGTAGTTGTTCAAGTGCTTGGAGTCTTTCTCTAACTTTTTTGGTACTGTATGAATATCTATAACACTCAACAATTCAAAGAATATAAAATAAAGTCCAAAATTAAAAAAAAGATAAATAAAATGTTCATACCTATAAAATTATCCTATAAAATGTGTTCCACAGTAATAAAACAATTCTTAGATTTTAAAATCCCCTGGTTTTAGCATAAAACCATGTGTTAAGGTAGTACACAACAGAACTGAAATCCAATGACATGCCACGTTCTCATGGATCTCTTCCACACCTCTTATAGCACTGTGTCATCTTCTTCCTTCGTCTGGGCCAATAAACTACTCCTCATAAAAGAGCATTGATTAATCTTTGGAGCGATGCCTAACACATGGGTGGACAGGTTGGACTAGGGGATAGACCTGAACAAATCACAGAGAGGGTGGAGAGAAGACTGAAAAGGCTAGAACTGCAGCACTATTTTAATTGAACAGTATTTACTGGTGGAGGGAAGGCTTATTGGGATACATCAAGGAGACAGTGTACATGCAAGTCCCACAAACAGTACTCACTGCGCTGCATGCTACTGAGGTTTCCTAAAGTTTAAGTTCACCCCTTGGCAAGCGGAGCGAGGTATGCAGTAAAAGTGCATAGTTTATAATAGTACATATGTTTTTAGGCATAAATTGTGTGTATGCTGTTAGTCAAAAGATATGCTGTGTAGTCAGGGCCGATCCTAGGGTCACAGGCGCCTGGGTGCAGACATTTATTGGTGCCCACAGGTGGGCGTGGTCATCTTTCTAACTCCTCCCCTTTACAACAACTCCACCTCTCCATCTAGACACACACTCACTGACAGTCACACACTCTCACTGAGAGACACACACACTTACTGATTTGTCACACACTGACAGAAACATACTCAGACAGAAACATCGACACACACTCTCAATGACAGATACACAATCTCACTGATTTGAAACACTCACTGACAGACACAAATGCTGACAGACACATAGTGGTACGCAAAACAAGGAAGTCCAGCACTTTTTTAATCACAATATACATAATCACACAATTACACGCACACTGCCCCATGCATACCTAGACCGTCACACACAATACAATACACACACATTCATACCGTCATATGGATGGTGTATTAGTCACACACACACAATTTCCCTCTCAATGTCACATACACACAGTCCTTGCTGTCATGAACACTGGGAGGAGGAAATGAGGCCAAGGTCCCTAGTGTCTAGTGGGAGGTAGGTATTCCTTTCAGCTTCCCCTCTGTGTAGCAGCGGCTCTTAACCCCTTAAGGACCAAACTTCTGGAATAAAAGGGAATCATAACATGTCAGACATGTCGTGTCCTTAAGGGGTTTTAAACAATTATCTCTATAAACTCATTTGATAAATTATTTATTAATGCAAAGCTTCTAAGTAAAATAGTTTTCATTATTTCAGTTTGCTGTATATGTACAGTGATGTATGCACCGCATACACAAATTAATACACATACATACAAAAATCCACAGTTCATATCTCATACATACATAGACATGTGCACATTCACATATATACACAGACACACACTGTCACATACAGGGCACATACCAATATATACACTCACATACATACACAGACACATACTGTCACATACAGAGACACATACCAATATACACACTCTCATACATACACAGACACATGCTGCCACATACAGAGGCACATAGCAATATACACACTCACATACATACCTGGTTATTTACAAAAATGAGTATTGTCAGGAATTTATAGTGGATTTCAAAGTGGATAACAGAATTAGGGATCGACCGATATTGATTTTTTTTAGAGCCGATACCGATAATCTGTGAATTTTCAGGCCGATAGCCGTTAGCTTACTGATATTCTGTACATTTACCGTATTTATTTATTTTTTTGCAAATCTTTTTTTTATTAAGTGGTAAATGCACTAAATATACATGACAGTCAGATTTTTTTTATGTTTTAAAGAATATTTATATGTGTGTGTGTGTGAGTGTATACAGTGAGAGTATTTGATTAGTAAATGCAGTGTGTGTGTGTGTTTGTGTTGTGGATGCAATGGGTTTGTTTGTGTAGTGGATGCAGTGTGGGTAGTGGATGCAGTGTGCTTGTTTGTGTAGTGGATGCAGTGTGGGTAGTGGATTCAGTGTGTGTGTTTGTGTGTAAATATGTGCGGTAGGAACTCCCCTCCTCCCCACCCTTTACCTGTCTCTTAGTGCCCCACCCCATTCCCCTGTTCCTCTCCCTTCTCTTTTAGTGGTCCTCTTTCCTTCCCTCCCCTGTACCTTAGTGTCCTCCCTTGATGTTCCTCTCTCCCCCCCAGTGTTCATCACCCTCCTTCCCTGTCCCATAGTGCTCTTCACCCGTATCAATAGAATAAAAAACACCTGTCCTATAGTGTTCTTCACCCCCATTCCCTGTCCCATAGTGTTCTTCACCCCCCTTCTCTGTCCAATAGTGTTCTTCACCCCCCCTTCCCTGTCCCATAGTGTTCTCCCCATCCCCTGACCCATAATGTTCCTTTCCTTCCCCCCTCTCCCATAGTGTTCCTTACCACCCCTCCTCCCCCACAGTGTTCATTACCACTCCCACCCCCTGTCCCATAGTGTTCTACCACCCCCCTCCCATAGTGATCCTTAAAACCCCCACCCCCCTTCCTTAGTGCCCCTCTCTCTTTTTATCCTCCTTGGTCCCCGCTCCCCAGTGTGTCTCCTGGTAGCATGGCTGAGCGGAGCAGTGAGAGCACTTCCTTTCAGTCCGCCCGGGTACAGGAAACATAAGTTCCTGTATTGAATCCAGTACACATTGGGTGCGCACTGCTCCGCTCAGCCACTCTACACAGAGTGCCTGGAAGGAGGGAGTGTTGTGAGCCCACCTCTTGCCGGTCACTCCGATCTAGCGCTCCCCCCCCCCCCAGGCCGGTGCTCCCTAAGACAGCCGCTTGTGCCGGTGATTATTGTCCAATACCAATATTTACAAAAAATCTGAATGTCGGTCGATAATATCGGCAAAATCGATAATCGGTCGATTCCTAGACAGAATTGTCAAACTGGAAGCATTGTATTCCTGACAATTGTTTTAGTGAATAACCCTTGTCAGACATGAATTAACACACAACATCACAATCAGACACACATCATCATGGACACAGACACACCAAAACACAGTCAGAGACATACACGCATTAACACGATTACAAACATTCATAAAAAAAACACTGAGGCACGTATATTAAAAGACACACAAAGTCCCATACATAGACACACAGCACACTCAGTCACATAGACATAGGCTTATGTATAGCAGGTTGGTTGGTAGGTTAATTGAATTGGTGTTCAGGTGTGTTATGTGACAGGGAAGGTAGTAACACTCAGCAGAGTACCGCTGGTGTAACACCACCTACACTCAGCAGCTCCTTTTCCAGCTGCATACTGGGGGAGTTTCTATTGTTGGGAGGTTTTCAAGGCTGCATTCTAAAGCAGCCACTCACTCTCCGTGTTCCAAGCTGTGACACTTGCGAGTTGTGTTGGCAGCCGGGCTCTTCTGTTGTCATGGCGCCCTGCTTGCACACCCCAAAGGCTGGTCCTGCTGACAGACACACTTGCACTCACTCTCAATGACACACACACATAAACCCTGACACACACAAACTCACTGACAGACAACCACTTACTTGACAGATACACTCTCTGTCAAACACACAAACACTGACATACATTAACACACACTTACTGACGGACATACACAATGACAGTCATACTGACAGACACACACACACTGACAGACACACACACTCACTGACAGATACATTTACTGACAAACACACACACTCACTGACAGACACACTCGCTGACACACAAACACTGACAGACACATACACTCACACACACTTAATGACAGACACACAAACTCACTGACAGACACACTCGCTGACACACAAACACACACACACACTTACTGACAGACACACACACTCACTGACATACATTTACTCAGGGCCCGTGCAAGGATTTTTGCCGCCCTAGGCAAAAGTAAAGTTTGCCGCCCCCCCCCCCCATGTGACATCACAATGCTCCACCCATATGATCTGCCATGTTAACTAACGCCAGTGCTGCAGTGCCGCCGTGTTTACATTAAAAGTCCTGCAGGGACAGGCTATAGACACCAGAACCACTACATTAAGCTGCAGTGGTTCTGGGGACTATAGTGTCCCTTTAATGTGAGGTAAATTAGAGATTAGTGCCACGAATAATATACTAGATTGCCTACTTACAACCAGATGAGGATGATGATGAGCTCTAGCTGCAGTCTGGCTCCACTGGTCTGGTGTAGAACAGGCTCTCTGGAGGCGGTTTGTAACTGTGGTCACAAAAATCAATGTTCTGGGAGAACGGGAAGCAGCTCCATTTTTTTGAGAGCCCTTTACACAGCTCAAGGTCTGGGTCCCAGGGTCCACCTTCATGTTCCACCAATGAGTTTGTTCACAGGGGTGTGTGTGTGTGTGTGTGGGGGGGATGTCCTGATGTGTGTAAGGAATGCATTGTGTGAATCTGTGTTTGTATGTGTAAGGGCTGCAAGGTGTGTTTCTGTGTATGTACAGGATGCAGTGTGTGCGTGTGTAAGGGGTGCATTGAGTGTGTGTAAGGAATGCATTGTGTGTTTCTGTGTGTGTAAGGGATGCATTGTGTGTAAGGGTTGCATTGTGTGTATGTGTGTGTCTGTGTGTGTAATGCATTGTGTGTTTTCTGTGTGCAAGGGGTGCATTGCATGTGTGTGTGATGGATGTCAATCTCTCCCCCCTCCCTTGTCACTCTCTTCTCCCCCCTCTCCCTTGTCACTCTTCTCCCCTCCCCCTTCCCACTCTCATTGCCCCTCCCTCCCCTGTAACTCTCACCCCCCCGTCAATTTCTTCTCCCCCCCACCAATTTCTTCTTCTCCCCTCTGTCAATTTCTTCTTCTCACCCCTCCCCTACTAATTTCTTCTTCTCCCCCCTCCCCTTCCAATTTCTTCTTCTCCCCCTCCCCTACCAATTTCTTCTTCCCCTCCCCATTTCTTCTTCTCCCCACCCCTCACCATTTCTTTTATCCACCCTCCCATTTTATTCTCCCCCCTCCTCTCACAATTTTCTTCTACCCCCTCCCTACCAATTTCTTCTCCCCTCCTGCCAATTTCTTCTTCTCCCCTGCAATTTCTTCTCCCCCCCTCCCCTCCCAATTTCTTCTTCTCCCCTGCCAATTTCTTCTCCCCTCCCCTCCCAATTTCTTCTCCCTCCTCCCCTCCAATTTCTTCCCTCCCCACCCCTACCAGTATCTTCTTCTCCCCCCCCCCTCCTGCCAGTTCTTCTTCTCCCCACCCTCCCATTTCTTCTCCCCCCCCTCCCTGCAATTTCTTTTCACCCACCATCCCATTTCTTCTCCCTGCAATTTGTTCTCCCCCTCCCCTCCCAGTTTCTTCTCCCCCTCCTGCCAGTTTCTTCTTCTCCCCTGCCAGTTTCTTTGTTTCTTCTCCCTCACAGTTCTTCTTGCCCTCCCCTCCCAATTTCTTTACTCCCCTCCCTCACAATTTCTTCTTACCCCCCTCCCTCAATGTTTCTTCTCCCCCCCCTCCCAATTTCTTCTCCCCCCCCTCCCAATTTCTTCTCCCAGTCCCCTCCCAATTTCTTCTCCCCCGTCCCCTCACAATTTCTTCTTACCCCCTCCCCTGACAATTTCTTCTCCCCCCTCCCATCCCAATTTCTTCTTACCCCCTCCCACCTGCCCAGGATCGGCCCTGTGTGTAGTCCAAATCTCTGTGTATAGTTTGTATTCCTTGGATGTTAAATGTAATATCAATGAGTGCAGATAACTGAACTCCACATTTGTAATCCTGTTTGTAACCTCCTTTTTGGTGATCTCTGTAAACAAATGTATTTGTATGTCATTTTACAGTTTTCTCGGTGCTTATGATTCACGGTGCTAAAGGTGTTAAAGAGATTAATGTTGGTGGTGTTCAACCCTCCTGCACACCCTTGAAAAAAAAAAGTACCCCACCCATCAGAAGCTCTCCTCTCATTATTTACTTGATGCCAAAGGGGCCGCAACAGTCAGATTATGTCTGTTGCCAGTGTTCAGTGCGCCATTTAGCAGTCCTGAACAGCATTTCGGGCTACCAAACATGTGCTGTGGGTACAACTAGGCCCTTGCACAATTATATATATTTATATTTACATATATATATATAGGAAACTATGAAGAGAGCACTCCAGAGGATTTTTTCAATCAATTTTATGCGTAGTTTTAGAAGATCAACGTTTCGACCCAAGAGGTCTTTGTCAAGATATAAATACAAGTGAAAAAATTATATTATTAGGACATAAATTATTATTTCTTAACAACTTACCCAGTGCAAGTGTGACACCCCAGATCCATGTGTGAACGCAGTGCGGTACTCTAGTGATAGCGCGTGTGTGGCCAACGTAGACGTTATATATATATATATATATATATATATATATGCTTTTATTTATTTGCCATTATTGCAAAATTCTAGAAATATTTGAGCATTCTAACTTGAAGTGTTATGCTTAATTTATAGTCAACCTATTATCATGATGTGATACAAAATAAGTAAAAGATCCCACAGTTAAGAACCGCTGGACCCAGTGTCACGTAACTGATGGAGCAGAAAAGAAAGAGGAAGTTGTATACTGGACACCCCCTCATATGCTATGGAAAGGATGCTGATTGGCTGTTCCTGTTGCTAGGAAGATATACCTCTTATGTTACTTACTGGTTTCTTTTTTATACTGATTTTGTGTTTTTCTTTGCTGCTGAGGGAAATAAAGAGAGTGCAGCATAATACTCACCTCTGTGTCATTAATAAAATCACGTATTTATAGTAAACCTATTATCATGATGTGATCCAAAATTAACAATTAACGATCTTCTGACACCTCTTACTACTCTTACAAATTAGGTAGTATTGTCTCTGGATAATAGTGAATAGTATGATATTATCATTATTGTATGGGATAAATAAGTCTTAATCAGTATCAGTAAATGTTAAAAAAAAACAAAAAAAACCTTTTGCATAAAAGATATGATGAATAGTCCTTATTTTGATTGAGAAAAAGCCTTTCTATATCACTAAACTTTATATATGATATAGATTTTAAGTGTGCATATTTGATGGGGTATTATTATATGATTAAATGTTTTGGTGTAGTTGCACATTTCATAGAAAGTATATAACATGGTTAAACGCTGCCTTGCAACAACATCTCATTAAGCTGTATTGGGAAGTCTGTGTTTGGACAGGCACAAAATGAATAGGCTTGGGGAAAAAGGGAAAGTTCCAAAGGCTGTAGATATTAGACCTGAAACTTTTGCAAGCTGCTTTTAGATATACTCCAAATGAAAGAAAAAAATGGAATTCATGCGTGCTTTCATTGTAGGTACATATACTAAATTGTGATTTTAAAAAAATATATAATTTTAATTATTAATTGGGCAGTGGAGTGTAAGCTTATGTTAAGAATTCTCACAAGTTCTATAGGCATTACTGGCTGAAACACTTTGGTCCCATACCTTCTGGGAGGTATAGAATCAGAGGAGGTGCACCGAGCCTCCAGGAGGTACCGCCAGTGACACAATTTAATCACTGATAACATCCATAAGGGATGATAATCACCTGTCCACTGAAAGCACGTATCAGCCTGATATCAAGCATGCCAAACTGACTGATAGCCTCTCTGGCCAACCCCTAGAATAGAAGACCATGCCGTCAGTGCTGCTGTTCCCAACGCACAGCATGTTTACGTCTAAAAACGCGCTCAAACTTTGCTGCCATGAGACCTGATGCAGGAGATGTCTTACTTGAGATTAAGCACAGGAAATATACACTGATAAGCCACAACATTAAACCCACCTGCCTAGTATTGTGTAGGTCCCCCTTGTTGAGGCATGACCTATGAATGTGTCCTCTCGTATCTGGCACTAAGACATTAGCAGCAGACACTTTAAATCCTGCAAGGGGTCTCCATGGATCAGATTTCTTGTTCCAGCACATCCCACAGATACTCAATTAGATTGAGATCTGTAAAATCTGGAGGCCAAGACAACACCTTGAAATCTTTGTCATGTTCCTCAAACCATTCCTGAATAACTCTTGCACTGTGTCAGGGTGTATTATCATGCTGAAAGAGGCCAGTGCAATTAGGAAACACCATTGCCATGAATAGGTGAATGTGGTCTTCAACAATCTCTAGGTAGGTGATGCATTTAAAAGTAGTGAGTGAGCTTGTGTGTGTGTTTGTGTGTCTGCTAGTGAGTGAGTGAGCTTGTGTGTTTGCCTGTCTGCTAGTGTGTGAGCTTGTGTGTGTGCCTAATAGTGAGTGAGCTTATGTGTGTGTCTCAGTGAGCTAGTCTGTAGTGAGCATGTGTGTGTCAGTGAGCTTGTCTGTAGTGAGCATGTGTGTGTGTGTCAGTTAGCTTGTCTGTTGGAAGCATGTGTGTGTGTCAATAGCTTTTCTGTAGGGAGCATGTGTGTCAGTTAGCTTTTCTGCAGTGAGCATGTGTGTGTCAGTGAGTGTGTGTGTGTGACAGTGAGCTTGTCTGTAGTAAGCTTGTGCGTGTCAGAGTTTGTCTGTACTACCTTTGTGTGTGTATACCAATAAGCTTGTCTCTGTGTGTCAGTGAGCCTATTTGTGTGCATCTGTGAGCTTGTGTTTTCATGTCACTGAGCTTATGTATATCAGTAAGATTGTTTGTCTATGATGCTGTGTATCAATGAGCTTGTGTGTGTCAGTGAGATTGTCTATGTCTGCATGTGAATACACTTACTGTATAAATAAAGGGATCCTAAAATGCAAGGAAAACATATCTGTTTTCCTGGAACGATAGGGTTAATAGTTTCCTCCCCTCTTCTACGGGGCTGAAAGGGTTAAAAACATTTTCAGCCACTTACCTGAATACAGTGCCGATGTCGCAATAATATCGTCCTTGTAAGTGCTGTTTGTGCATGAAAAATGCAAAAAACTTCACTATTACTGGCGATATCATCGTTGTAATACATTTTACTGTTTTGAAACACTAATATTTGTTTTCAGCGAAGTCTCCCGAGTAGAACAGTACACCCCATGTACAGGTTTTATGGTGTCTTGGAAAGTTATAGGTTAAATATAGTGCTAGCAAATTAAATTCCCTTTACTTTCGGCATGGGTTGTCAGGCAGGTCCCGCTAATTGTAATTAATTAAGATACCTAATTATGTAAAAATAGTACATAAATATATATGTAGAATTAATATATGTATATATATATATATGCGTATGTGAATATATATGTGTACATATATATATAATTTTTAAAAAATATTTTTATTTATATATAGGTATATATAGTGATATATACGTATATATTTATGTATATAGATATATATTATTTCGTTCTACGTGTATTTTGATATAAATATATATATATTAATATCACAATACAGTTAGAATGAAATAACACACATCTATATATTTTTTAATTATTTTTTTAAATTATTTTTTTAATTTTATTTTTTAACGTATTTACATATTAAATTTTTTTATATTATATATAAATATATATATATAACAATAATTATATATATTTAATCTATATCAGTCTATGTGTAATTTGATATTAATATATATATATATATAATTATATATATATTAATAGTAAAATACACCTAGACAGTGTATGTGTGTGTATGTATATATATATATATATATATATATATATATACTTAGATCTAAGTATATATTTATTTATTTTTACACTTTTTAACTTTTATTTAATTTTATTTCCAGCCAACAGGGGGACTAACTGTCATTACAGGCAGCAAGGACCTCACTCGCAGGGACCTCACTCTCACATGGCCGGGGGGGGGGGCTGCCAGGAGGAAGATCTGCCGCGGGGGGGCTCCCTGGGAGTCCCCCCAACCGCGATCGCCGGCGGTCCCACCGGGTAAGTAATGAAAGACCGGAGGGCGTACTATTACGCCCGGCAGCGTTTAGAGCTGCCTAAAATAGGGCGTAATAGTACGCCCTCCGGTCTTAAGGGGTTAAACAGGTTTTGGGTTTACATTCGGTTATTCATTATTTGGATGATTTTCTTTTTACTGGGAAAGCTGAATCTTCAGATTGTTTTCATTTAAGGCAGATTTTCATGTCCACTGCTCAGCATTTTGGTATTCCGTTGGCAAAAGAAAAGACAGTTTGGCCTAGTACATGTTTACAGTTTTTAGGTATAATTATTGATTCTGAGCGAATTGAGTTTCGTTTGTCTGAAGATAAGATTATCAGAATGAAGCGCAAAATTTCTCATTTATTAGATGTTAGGTAAATTGCAATCTGTGTTAGGTTTACTAAATTTTGCTTCAAGAGTAAAGATATCCCCTGGACTGCAAGGAAGGGGAGGCATGACTGCTGCCCTGCAGTAAGGGGTGGGAAGATAAAAGATACAATGTTGCCTCTATAGTGGGATATAAGAGGGAGATCAAGGGGGTGGGACTCACCAGTGCAGAAGGAGCAGTCTGGAACAGTTCTAGGCGTTCTAGGCCTCCTTCCCACCTTTCCCCCAGTCCGGTGCGTAGAGGAGGGGGATCGGAGGCCGGGACCAGCGGGCAGCAGCCGGCGCCGGAGCATGGAGGCGGTGATGGCGGATCCCGGGCTTCCAGGAGGCAGCCGCGGGTGGTGAGAGCTGCAGTGAGGCGGGCCAAAGATGGCGGAGCGCGGGAAGAGCGCTCGCGCAGTCCTCCTTCTCTTCCGGTCCGGCCGGAAGTGACGCATCGACGTCGGACGTCCGGGCGGTGCGTGGAGACGCCGGACGTCACAAGGGGCGCGTACGCGACGGACGCACGGCGCACAGTGCGGACGTCACAGGCCCCACCGGAGAACCCGGAAGTGCGCGAAAATGCGGCGCCGGAGCCCCAGGGGAGCCGTGGGGGCGCCCAAGCTCGGGATCGGAGGGCTGTACAGCCCAGGAGAAGGCTGGGGGCGGATGCCCTGCAGCAAAGAGAGCCCAGAACGCGGGGACTGCCGGACAGGAGTCCAACATGGGACAGCATCCAGAGGAGGCTACAGGAGGACTCGGAATCCGGATCAGAGGAGGAAGATTTGGACCATAGGACGGCTCCCAGACCTCGCCAACCTGAGCAGGCTACCGTGGCAGCTCCACTAAGCGGTGAGTTGGCTTGCGCTAGCGCTTGGGGTAGCCTAGCTGGGGGACAGGGTGCGCTAGGGCAGGAGCAGGCTGCGGATAGGGAATTGTTGCGCTTGCTCAGGGCAGTGGTAGATAGGTTGCCAGCTGCGCATAGCCAATCAGGGGACGTGCGCAGGGTGCTGGAGGAGGCTCCAGCTGATAGGGCTCAGGCGGGGGGGGGTTCCGTCCCTCTCTACCGGGTTGTGAACTGTCCCCCTTGGGCATGCATGTCCCAGGGGAGACGCGGGATAAGATTATTAAAGGGGAATTTGTGGACTTTTTGTCCCTGGTTTCCCCGGACAGGGATTCTGTGGATCGACCACGTCGTGGCGAGCCACAGGACCCCGAGAAGGGTAAGCAAATCCCACGAACGTTTGGGAATTGGTTACAGGGTTTCGCGGTTTTCGCAAGTATTCTGACCCGTCGGTTCCCGGATAGGGCGCCGCAGCTGTTCGGATACTTGGATCTGATTTGGGGTGCGTATAAGGTGTATGGCGGGCAGAGCTGGTTTCGTTACGACCAGCAGTTCCGGCAGAAGATGGCGGCGTGTCCTGGATTGGACTTCGGCACGCAGGATGGCAGCCTGTGGCTGTTGCTCATGACGCCGAGTCGTCCGGCGTCCTTTCCAGGGGCAGCCGGCGCCGGAGCTTCCTCCGGTGCGCCGGCTGGGCAGAAAAAGGGAGTGTGCTGGCTCTTCAATGAGAGCCACTGCAGGTGGTACTCCTCCTGTAGGTTCAAGCACGAGTGCTCACATTGCGGGGGGGCTCACCCCGCCATGCGATGCTTCAAGAAGGCGAAGCAGTCCATTCCCAAGGCAGGGTCACGAGAGGATGGTTCCAAGGGGGAGGACACCAGTGAGCGTGGCAAGGATGTTGCCATGGCTCGAGGCCTACCCTAAACGCTGCGATGCCGCGGTGTTGGAGGAAGGGTTTTCAGTCGGATTCTGGATCCCCTTTGTCTCCTCGGCGGAGCCACGGTTGGCAGATAATCTTCGGTCGGTCAAGGGTAGGGAGGAAGTTTTGGGTGCCAAGTTGGAAAATGAATTGACATTGCGGCGCATGGCGGGGCCGTTTTCTTACCCCCCATTTCCCAACTTGCGGGTATCGCCCTTGGGGCTGGTACCTAAAAAGGAGCCTGGCTCCTTTCGGTTGATTCATCACCTGTCCTACCCGGCTGGGAGGTCGGTGAACGATGATATCGATAAGGAATTCAGAAGGGTGCGTTATGCTTCGTTTGACAGGGCCCTGTCATTGGTTAGGGAAGCGGGGTTGGGGGCTCTCCTGGCTAAATCAGACATCGAATCGGCCTTTCGGTTATTGCCGGTTCACCCAGAATGTTGTCACCTGCTGGGTTGTCAATTCCAGGGGTCGTTTTTCTACGACATGTGCCTTCCCATGGGTTGTTCGATCTCGTGTTCTTATTTTGAAATGTTGTCCTCGTTTTTGGAATGGTCTGTGGTTCAGTATTCGGGTTTGGATTCGGTGACGCACTTCTTGTTTGTGAGTCCTCGGGAGGGTGACGGATGTTCTCGGTTGTTGGCGGCCTTCCGCGCAGTGTCCGCGTGGTTTGGCGTACCAGTGGCGGAGCAGAAGACGGAGGGGCCAGCCACTAGGCTGTCGTTTTTGGGCATCGAGATTGACACCGTGGACATGGTTTTTCGCTTACCGGACGAAAAGCTAATGGTCCTGCTCAAGCAGATTGACTTGGTAAAATCGGCTCGGAAGGTACAGTTGCGCACGATGCAAGTACTGCTGGGTCACCTAGCCTTTGCTTGCAGAGTCTTGCCCATGGGGCGGGCCTTTTGCCGGCGCTTGTCATTGGCGACGGTTGGTATCCGGGAGGCTCACCATTTTATTCGGGTGTCGGCCAAACTTAGGGCTGACTTACAGGTATGGAGCGTCTTCCTGGGTAGGTATAACGGCCGATCATGCTGGTTGCGGGAAGCGGTTCCCAATGCCGAACTTGATCTGTACACGGATGCATCGGGATCGGTAGGGTTTGGGGCTTACTTTCAGGGCAAGTGGTGTGCGGCTGCTTGGCCAGCGGCGTGAGCTGGAGTTGATGCAGAACCTTACGTTCTTGGAGCTGTTCCCCATAGTGGTGGCGCTAGCACTGTGGGGGGACGAATTGCGGAACCGGGTGGTGGTTTTCACACAGATAACATGAGTGTGGTCCATGTGATTAACCGATCATCGTCTGCATCTCCTCCAGTGCTGTCTCTCTTGCGTCACCTAGTGCTGCTGAGCTTACAGTTTAATGTGTGGTTGCAGGCTCGGCATGTTCCAGGGGTTTTGAATGTGGTGGCTGACTCTCTTTCTCGGTTTCAGTGGGACCGTTTTCGGGAGTCGGCCCCGGAAGCAGATCAGGAGGGTCTTCGCTGCCCGGCATACTTATGGGACCTGGTTTCGGAGGGCTGATGTCCTTGGTGTCGGCATCGTTGTCGGCGGCTACGTGGAAGGCATACAGGTCGGTATGGGTAGGTTGGCTGTCGTGTGTGGAGGGGTCTGATCGTATGTCATCGGGGTCTGCCCGGTTCTCAGTGACGTTACGCTATATGAGTAGGCTCCTGGAGCAAGGTCACTCATGCGCGTCGGCGGAGAGAGCGCTGTCGGCTCTGTCGTTTTTGTTTCGGTTTCTAGGCTGGCGGGACATAATGAAGGAGTTTTGCCTGCAGCGGGTTCTGCGCGGTTGGAGGACCCGGAGGCGTCCGGACCGGCGGCGTCCGATTTCAGTGGAGCTGTTGTGGCAGTTGATGGGGGCATTGCCGGGGGTCTGTGTCTCGGTATCAGAGAGTCGGTTGTTACAGGTTAGTTTTGCGCTTTGTTTCTTCGGGGCATTGCGGGTGGGGGAGCTTGTCGCCCCCAATCGCCGTTCTGTTTCTCCTCTCTTGCTGTCAGATGTGCGTTGGACGGATGGGTTTGTGGACCTGCATATCCGCAGATCCAAGACAGATCAAGCTGGGGCTGGTGTGTGGCTCAGGGTGGGGAGCTATGGTGGTGAGTATTGTCCGGTCCGGCTCTTCCAACAGTATATGGCGAGTCGGCCGGCGGCGGCCTCATTGTTGGTGCATGCGGATGGGTCCCCGCTTACGCGTTTTCAGTTTGCGTCAGTGTTGGGTAGAGCGCTGGTGGACTGCGGTCAAGATCCATCAGGGTTCTCGCCCCATTCCTTTAGGATCGGGGCCGCTACTCAGGCTAGCGGTATGGGTTTGGCAGGCTCGGTGGTGCAGCGATTAGGCAGATGGTCTTCTAGGCGGTTTCAGCTGTATGTTCGTCCACATTTGTTATAATTTGTTTCAGGTTGCGTCCCCCATTACGTATGGATCTTGGGGCATTCGTTTATATATTGGGCAGCTCGACGGGCTCAGTCTCGCTCCTATGGACGGAACCTAGGGATCTCCATGGACATAGCAAGGGTACGCTGGAGGGGTGTTCGGGGTCTGTCCTGGAGTCAAGTCTATCCGGAGTGCGTGGCCCTGAGCAGGTTCGTGTCGGGGGCGGTTACAATTGTGATCCATGCGGGAGGTAATGATTTAGGGAGGGTTAGATCGGTGGATCTGATGCACTCTGTCAAGCACGACTTGGCCCGGTGTTTGGCACTATTCTCAGGCTGTACTCTGATTTGGTCGGAGATTGTTCCCCGTCCTGGCTGGCAGGTCTTGCCGCATGCCAAGGGCCTGGAGCGGAGCAGGCGCAAGCTCAACATGACGATCTCTCGGTTTGTGCGGCGGCTTGGTGGTGTGGCGGTTCGGCATGTGGAGCTGGAGGGGGACAATCGGAATTTGATGAGGGCGGACGGAGTGCACCTGAACCAAATAGGATTGGACATTTTTAATGCGGGTCTGCAGTCGGGTATAGAAAAGGCGCTGGCTGCGGGGGGCGCGATGCCGGGTAAAGAGAGGGAGGGCCAGCATCGCGGTGGCGGAGTTCCTGGCCAGCGCACGTAATGCACGGTAAGGATTTGGGGAGTCGCAGCCTGCTAGGGCTGATGGCCGAAGGCAGGCTGTACGAACTCTGGATAAAGACTTGGAGTATCTGTCTGTTGGGTAGTCACCCCAACAGCTGACAGGTGGAAATGCTGGTTGTGTAAAAGTTTAATAAAGCTGTGGCCGTTGCCCTTACCCAACAATCAGGTGTCATGTCGTTATTGGGGGTAACGGTTTTGGGTATTTGGGGTCAGCAGTCAAGATATCCCCTGGACTGCAAGGAAGGGGAGGCATGACTGCTGCCCTGCAGTAAGGGGTGGGAAGATAAAAGATACAATGTTGCCTATATAGTGGGATATAAGAGGGAGATCAAGGGGGTGGGACTCACCAGTGCAGAAGGAGCAGTCTGGAACAGTTTCCCGCCCGCCCTCCCCCCAAATAATTTCCCATGCTATGTGATGGTTTGGCTTGTGGTGTTGTTTGTTTCTGTTCTTGTTTTGTCACAGCTATGGCGGAGTTCCTGGCCAGCGCACGTAATGCACGGAAAGGATTTGGGGAGTCGCAGCCTGCTAGGGCTGATGGCCGAAGGCAGGCTGTACGAACTCTGGATAAAGACTTGGAGTATCTGTCTGTTGGGTAGTCACCCCAACAGCTGACAAGTGGAAATGCTGGTTGTGTAAAAGTTTAATAAAGCTGTGGCCGTTGCCCTTACCCAACAATCAGGTGTCATGTCATTATTGGGGGTAACGGTTTTGGGTATTTGGGGTCAGCAGTCATGCCTATGACTAGGGCCTTTTCCAGACATATGTCAAGAGCTATAGCTGATTTTACAAATCTGCATCACCATGTTAGAATTTCTAGACAGATCAAAGAAGATTTACATGTATGGAATGAATTTTTATGCAACTTTAATGGTTCCATGATTTGGCAAAGTGATTTTGTATCTAATTGGGATTTGGATATTTTCATGGATGCAGCTGGGTCTCAAGGCTACGGCATATATTTTCATGGTAGATAGGCAGCAGCTGGTTGGCCCCAGTCGTGGTTTGAGTATGGTTGGACAAGAATGATTACTCTTTTGGAATTAATTCCGATAGTTGAAGCCCTTGATGTCTGGGGCTCCGTATTGGCTAACAAGAGGATTATTTTTCATTGTGACAATTTAGGGGTGGTTTGGGTAATCAATTCCCTTAAGGCAAAATGTAATCCCGGTGATCAATCTAATGAGACGTCTGGTTTTTATTTGTTTGGTGAATAATATATAGGTAAAAGCAAAGCATGTAAAGGGAAAAAGTAATTGTATAGCTAATGCATTGTCCCGTTTTGACTTCAAGTCTTTCAGATCACTTGCACCTCTAGCGGACGAAGTTGGAACGAGGTTGCTAGAACACATCTGGGAGCTAACTTCACCCAGATAAGCCAATTACTGGGTTTATCGTTATCTACAACCACTTGGGGGGCATACCTGAAGGCTTGGGAAGAATGGCAGCAGTGTATGCTTAAAGGACCACTATAGGCACCCAGACCACTTCAGCTCAATGAAGTGGTCTGGATGCCAGGTCCATCTAGGGTTAACCCTGCAGCTGTAAACATAACAGTTTCAGAGAAACTGCTATGTTTACATAAGGGTTAATCCATCCTCTAGTGGCTGTCTCATTGACAGCCGCTAGAGGCGCTTCCGCGCTTCTCACTGTGATTTTCACAGTGAGAAGATGCCAGCATCCATAGGAAAGCTTTGAGAAATGCTTTCCTATGGACTGACTGAATGCGCGTGCGGCTCTTGCCTCTCATGCGCATTCAGCAGATGACGTTGGAAGAGGGATGAGAGTCCCCAACGCCGAAGGAGCCCGGCGCTGGAGAAAGGTAAGAATGTAACCCCTTCCTCCCCCTTCAGCCCGGCGGGAGGGGGTCCCAGAGGGTGAGGGGGACCCAAAGACCTTAGAGAGCCAGGAAAATGAGTTTGTTTTCCTGGCACTATAGTGGTCCTTTAATTTAAATAGGGACGCCACTGATCCCACTATACAGGATGCAATTCAATATATGATTACAAAAGTTCGGGCCGGCGTATCCAAGTTTTCTTTTAAAAGAGCCCTTTTAGGCATTTCCTTTTTCCTTAAAGTATTAGGAAAGAAGTCTGTGTTTAAGGAATTCATTATTCAACAAATGTTAAAGCGGGCTTGGATAAAGAAAGCGCCAGTCCATGATAACAGGTCCCCTGTCTCCTTTCAGCTTTTGGGTGATTTGGTAAAATATTTGAGCTCCGTTTGTAAAGATGCATTTGAGACCCAATAATAAAGCCATGGAGAAATTTATGCCATCAGTTGGTGGTTTTTCTTTTCGCCACATTGACATTGAAGGGCTGTGCAAAGGCTTGTTTATATGGGATGGTATTCAATTATCTGATGTTGGGTTGGATATTTTTAATAAAGATATGCAGTGCATGATCGATAAGGCCGTGGTCTGGTGGGGTGGGCTGCAGCATTAGTTGCATGCTGCAGTGTGTGGGGTTAAGGTCTCCTGCCTAATTTAAAGGGGGGTTGGGGTGGACTAGCTGAGTTTCGTTATCATTTGGTTTAAGTTTTGGCTAATAGGGTGGAACTCTGGTGAGTTATGTGTTAAATATCTAGGGGTTTAAAGACTGGAGATGTTTGATTAATTCTCTGGGGGTTTAAAAACCAGAGATGTTTGGTTATAAAGTTAATAAGTGATGTTTGTATTATTTGTAAACTAAAACACCACAGCCTTTTCAGCACACTTCTGAGTCTGTGTTTTATTTATTGTGTTTCTGTGCCTTGTTATGCTATGTATTACTTGTTGTTATTATGTGTCAGTCTGAATTAACCCCTGTTGAGCACATGCTTGAAGTTAAGAGTTAACTTTTTAGTAAGGACTTGAGACATTGCCATGAGACACCAATCCTCTATTCTTGCTTCATAGTGTATCATGCTTTAAATGCTGCAAAGGTAGTCAGCGACAATCAGTATACAAAGTCACATATCAAAGGCATCGATAAAGAAACTCTCTCAGTGCTGTAATCTGTAGAGAGCACCTTGCACACATCTAAGTGTGTCTCACAGGAAAGCATTGAATTCAGTTGGTTGTTATAGAGGAAGCTGAGGCTGTCTAGGAGACAGCCACTAGAGATGTATCTAACCCTGCCATATAGATTGCAGCCTCAACAAAACTGCAATATTTTGCAATGCAGGGTTAAAAGTACAGGGTTACTGAGATAAATTGATGTGGGTGACTTTAGTGGTCCTTTATTGTATGAACAGCCAAGCTCAATGTTTTGTTTATTTGCAAGTAAAAAAATATATTAAGAATTGTGATTTCTCTCCTCCCCACCCCCTCCCCCCCATTGATTTATTTTCATATAACTGCGTGCAGGAAATATATTCTCCTTTAGTTATGTATGAGCTGTGCAACACATACAATATATTAATATTAAATGGCTCACTTGGTTTGTGGTTTGTAGAAACATCACAAAAACATATATAAAGGAATAGTGAATCAACATTTATTTAAATAAACCATACTACGTGCACTCAAAGCAGCACTTAATATACATGAGCCATTTAAAGGACCACTAATGGCACCCAGACCACTTCAGCTTAATGAAGTGGTCTGGGTGCCAGGTACATCTAGGATTAACCCTTTTTTTTTATAAACATAGCAGTTTAGAAACTGCTATGTTTATATTAGGGTTAATCCAGCCTCTAGTGGCTGTCTCATTGACAGCCGCTAGAGGCGCTTGCGTGCTTCTCACTGTGAAAATCACAGTGAGAAGACGCCATTGTCCATAGGAAAGCATTGTAAATGATGACGTCGCTGTGGAGGAGGAGAGCTCCCTGCCTGGCGCTGGAGAAAGGTAAGATTTTAACCTCTTCCTCTCCCCAGAGCCCAGTGGGAGGGGGACCCTAAGGGTGGGGGCACCCTCAGGGCACTATAGTTCCAGGAAAACGAGTATGTTTTCCTGGCACTATAGTGGTCCTTTAAGGCTCATTTGCGGTTATGTACAGGTATGGTATACAGTAGTTCTAAAAGTGGACATCACTATGGAATCCATGAACGCTCACTTTTAGAACTTTACCCTAGAAGTATTTTTTTTTTTTAGTTGACGCCTAGATTCCTACTCAGTAAACATTTATACTATAACATTATGCAATAGTTTTCTTTATTATTATAAAAAAAAACATTTCACGTGGGGTCCTTACTTCTTTCTCATGTAGCTGTATAGAACTTATAGTACTGAAATACGCTGGGGTCCGTCACTCCGGTAGGTGGCGCTCAAGTCACCTCTTCGCCTTTCTGTTGGTCTCTTTCGTTCTTCTAATCAAGTCGCGAAGTAGTGGCATTTTGGCGACAGCTGCACTGGGACGCCGTGGACCATGGCTACTGAGGGCAAGGTGAGCGCAGGCTGGCAGAGCTCTATTACACAGTATGTCAGAGGGTGAGGGTGGCAGTCATGGTGCATGGAGCCAGCTCTGTACATACACTGTGTCTGCTATCCTGCTTACTGAGCAGCAGGGACGTGAACTTGACACTGAGGATTGGGGGAGGCTGTATAACATATCTACCAGGTTTAGAAAACACAGTTCCTGTGTATTTTATTTTTTTAATTAGGATTAGTGTTAGAGTTCAGTTAGAGTTTGACACTCTGGATATAGGATAGTGAAAGGCTAAGGTAATATTTTATTTTATAGAACTTTAGTAATGCTTGCTGTAATAACACAATGTGATTGATATATAAAAAAAATGTCTGGGTGAAGAAAGTGGTGTAATTATAACAAGGTGCAGTTATGTATTAACAGAGACATGTAAACGGAATTAGAATAGTTTAAAATAGCATGGTGTGCTTTTCATAGACCAGTGGTCTGCAGAAATTCAATTTCTAAGGAATTAAGGCTAGTATTGCTTTGATAAATGCTGACCAGTAAAATCTGGGCACTGAGTATATATGCTGTCTTTTTTTTTTTTTTGCAAATGATTGTTTATGTTTCTCTGTTATGTAGGTCATCAAATGTAAAGCAGCCATAGCCTGGGAGGCTGGGAAACCCCTTTCCATTGAAGAAGTGGAAGTTGCACCACCAAAGGCCCATGAAGTCCGCATCAAGGTAATTTGATGCATTGTACCATGTTACAGTAAGGAAGTACATGTGTTCGATGGGTATTAAGAAAAGAAAAATGCATATGTTAGCTGTGTTTAATAGAGAATAAAATGGTCCCTTGCAATAATTTTTAATTTTTTTTTTTTTTTTCCTTCCTTGAGCATTTGATTAGGTAAAGCCAAATTTGTTGGCTGATTAATTTAAGAGGTACCTCAGACTAATAAGTGTTTTTAAATGTATTTCCATTAACATTGCAGTTGTGTGTTAACTTTTTCTTTAACCCCTTAAGGACCAAACTTCTGGAATAAAAGGGAATCATGACATGTCACACATGTCATGTGTCCTTAAGGGGTTAAGGAATCACATTCTTGAAGTTTTAACATTTGTAAATAGCTAAATTCTTCGTAAAATTAAAATTTAAAAAAAACTTTACTTGCGCACTTTCCCAAATCCTTAGGCACATTTAAATAACTGGAGGTTATGAAATAACTGGAGTTTAAAGTTGTACACCGAAGTCTTAAATAATTGGCAAGATGATTACAGCAATGTACTACATAAAGAATTTATTCGCTATAATTTGAACAGATCTTTGATATATAAAAAAAAAATGGTTCATTCAGACATAGATGTTGCCTATGGAAGAAATTTTGTTTTCCTTCTTTTAAATTATTTATCATAACAAAATACATGACTGGATGCACATAACAACAGATCATGTTAACTTTTACAGATAGTGTCTACGGCTGTATGCCATACCGATGCCTATACTCTCAGTGGAGCTGACCCAGAAGGCAGTTTTCCCGTGATATTGGGGCATGAAGGAGCTGGAATAGTGGAAAGTGTAGGAGAAGGTGTTACTAGAGTTAAAGCAGGTAAAATGTGTTTCATTGTACGTATTTGGGGCTGGATTCTAACGAACACTCAAGGCATCATAACTACTTAATTTCTTTGAAGTGGTCATGAGGACAAGATTGCCCTGGCACCACCTCACAGTTGACTGTTAAGCTGTTTACTAGTGGTTTAATGTTACACTAAGGTCCCTGGCCTCTTCTGCTCAGGCTCCCTTTTCATTGTTAATCCAAGTGCAGCCGTGGGGCAGTGGTAAGCTGAGAGCATCACACGATGAAGATGTCATTTGGGTACTTCAGCCAGTATAACTACTTCAAAGAGATGCTCAGAGTGTTACATGCAGAAGGAGTGAGCATTCTAGACCCTAAATCACATGTTGCACGCACCAACCTTAGCTCAAATACACAGAGGTAAATTTATAACTGGAAGAAAGATATGAGTACGTGCTTGTTGTTGCACGTTTGCATTGTATAACACCAAATAGCAATTTTTATGAGTCATATAAAATCCATTCTGCCGCTTTAGATATCCTAGTGTCTAAATGAGGTAGAACAGTTATTGGCTGTCAGCTTCATATGTCACAACTTTTTGGTTTTAGAATTATAAAATATTTACAGTATTTAAGTCATGCTTTTAAAATTACCCTTTTTAAATGTATTATGGAGGTAAACAAATCACAAGTGAATATCCTTTTGTGGTGCATTTTTCCTCAGATTTGTATATTTTTCAGTGGCTTATAAAAAAAAAAAAAGAGAGATGTACTTATTTATTCTAAGCAAGGGAATCTCTATGCTGCTTTTACCTTGGCCTCAGGCTCTGCTAATCCTTGTTTAGTGTGGAGGAAGAGTTTGCGTGACTACTTCTACACGGTACGAGTGATGTTTACTTCATCACAGCATTACAAATTAAAGTGCAACCTGCAAATATGACTTTTTTAGTATTTTGTCTTTCCTTTCCTTCTTTTGTGACCACTATAGGAACAAAAAAAAATTTCCCCAGATGTAGAACTTCTATTAACTTGAAAGTGTTGCTTCATGCATGTTTTTCATGAGTGAAATTCTTACAGTTCTGTTATGGAAATGTCTAGTGTGATATATATGTCGTGTGTGTGTGTGTCTATATGAGTCTGCTGTTTTTTTTTTGTTTTTTTTGTTGTTTTTTTTCTTCAAATAGTTTTTAGTAGGTATTTAATATTATAATAAAAAAATACAATAATTAAATTAACAATCATAAAAAATTGGTAAGAGGAAACTTGTGGAAGTATCAGTCTGAATATACAATATTTTTGTGCAATATTAATGTCTTTTTATCGATGATAATAAAATAATTATTATATCTATGTAAAACAAGTTTGTACTAATAATTTACAGTTTGAATATCTTGAATTATTAACAATTAGATTTTTAAACCTTGTTTTCCCACTCAATCCAGAAATAATGAAGCTGATCCCATAATAAACATGACTTTCTAATAGCCATCGCATATGATTTTTCTAATGCTAACTTTAGTTCATCAACTATTGAGGGTATAGCAGGAGATTTCCAATATCTGGGTAACTAGGGTGTGGTGGCTATAAGAATATGTCCTATGATTACTCTGTCTACTTTATTAACAGATTCTGGAATTTTTATGAAGAGCACGATTTCAATTCAGTTATTTTCATATTTAAGACTGAAGTAGCCAAACTGGAAATATTCTCCAAATCACCTGTGGTTCTTTTACTTTGTCCTTACATTTTAAATACACTTTAAATTTGCAACAACAGTCACTATAGTAAATAACCATTCTAATGTTTTTCTGCAGAGAGTTACTTTATCTGTCACAGCTCATAACTGCCTCCAATTGGAAGGGTGAATGAATAACCATTTACAACTCCTACTATTGAGGTAGCCGTTAATGTGTCTAGTTGCCACCAGTATCCCAGACACTGTCTTACTGGACTTGCAGGCTTTGCCAAATGTGCAGCAGAATTTTTACATAGAGGAAGATTTTACAGGTTCACACCATTTTATTGATTACTTACACTTGTGCCTTAGGGGGAATCTTGATGGTACCCATGGGCTACAAGCTTGGACCTTCCTACCATGTTAAATTTGTGTTTGTAGGTTACTTAAACTAGTCAGTGTTTAAACTGAAGCTTCTAGCCTGGCTGCCTTGTACATATTCTATTATATAACCCTGATATTTTAAATAATCTGCACTTTTGTTTCTTTTTTTTTCTAGGCGATAAAGTTATTCCTCTGTATATTCCACAATGTGGGGAATGCAAGTTTTGCTTGAATCCTAAAACCAATCTCTGCCAAAAGATAAGGTAGTAGTTAAGTGCATGCTATCTGTGTATTGTGCAACATTTTAGTCCCCACATTGACAGTAAACCTTGCTATTAAAAGTAAAAAATAAAATCATCATTAAAATCTTGATGAGTAATATCTCGAGCTACACCAGTTTTGGATTATAATTCTTGTGCAAATCCTAGTTCACAGCAGTTTAGATTTAGCTTAATGCACATAGGAAAAATAGGTTATCGATTATGAGAACTCCAGCTTTCTATTTACACAATTCTAAAGATGTCTCTGTTCTTTAATAAATTGAAAGAGCATGATTATAAACTCTTTCGGAGAAACTGCTAGAGGAGCTTCCTGCTGTTTCACGGAGTTTGACTCCGTGAAACGACGCTGGACGTCCTCACGCTGTGCATGAAGACATCTGGCGTCTTCAAATGCCCCATAGGAAAGCATTGCACATTAGTTTACCCCTCGGCCCTGACGTCAGAGGAGACAGAACCAATGCCGAGAAACCTGAACACTGGAATAAGGTAAGTGAGAAAAGTGTGTTTTTTTTTTTGTTTTTTTTTATTAAACCCTTAAACTGCCGCTCCAAGCAAATCAATAGCTCCACATTGATTTAACTTGTTAACGACCTATGACAGTTCAGGATTGTCATCAGAAACATCCACTTGAGAACTGATGATGGTCCTGAACTGTCATAATTACTTACCAGGCCTGGGGGGACAGCCTGACAGCCCAAACAGTCCTCCCTTGGCAAATTAGGCCCCTGTGGTCACATGGCCGCAATAGGTGTCCAAGTATCTGCCTGCAGGGGGACTGCCTGTTTCTGGAAAATAAAAATGTTAATAAATAAAATAAAAAAATTATATATATGAGAGAGAGAGAGATAAGTGTGTGTGTGTGTGTGTATGTATGTATGTATATGTATGTATGTGTATATATATATTATAAAATATAAATAGTTAAATACAAATAAATTTTTTTAAAAATTTAAAAAAATTTTTTATTTTATTCTAACTCTATTCTGATATTAATAAATATATATATAAAAAGAAAGGTATTGATCCTGAGGAAAGTCCCGTTTGGTGGACTGAAACGTTGATCGTGATTTTTTTTTAATATGAATTAATAAAGACTAGAACTTTTAAAGTCCGTGAGTGCTGCTACCTCTTTTGGATATATATATATATATCTCAATTTGAGGGACCTGCCTGACAACCCAGACAGAAAGTCCAGAGAATTTAATTTGCTAGCACTATATTTAACCCTGTAACTTTCCATGACACCCTAAAACCTGTACATCGGGTGGGTACTGTTTTACTCAGGAGACTTCACTAAACACAAATAATGTTTCAAAACTGTAAAACATATCACAGCGATGATATTGTCAGTAAAAGAAAAGATGTTTTGTATTTTTCACACACAAATGGCACTTTCACTGATCTCATTGTTGTAATATGTTTTACTGTTTTGAAACACTAATATTTGTGTTCAGAAAAGTCACCTGAGCATAACAGTACCCTCCATGTACAGGTTTTATAGTGTTTTTGAAATTTTCAAGGTTTAAATATAAGGATTGATTTTCCATTTTTTTTTATTTGCCTTTGAGAGCATATCGTAGTCCAGCAGGAATGAGAACTACCCTCATGATGGCATACCATTTGAAAAAGAACACAACCCAAGGTATAGCAAATAGGGGAAGGTTCAGTCTTTTCTAGTAGCCACTCAGTCACAAACACTGGCCAAAGTTAGCGTTCATAATGTTTTTTTTGCATTTTTAACACGCAAACAAATATAAATGCTAACTTTGTCCAGTGTTTGTGACTAAGTGGCTACTAAAAAAGACTGAACATAACCCATATTGAATACCCTGGGTTGTCTACTCCCAAAAACATGTGAGGTGTGATTCAGAGATTTATGACAGATAACAATGTTACAATGTCACTATTGATAAATTTAAAAAATATATATTTTGAAACACCAATGTCTGTCTTGTACTTCTAGCCCTATAACTTGCAAAAAAAAGCATGTAAGCAGTGGGTGTTTTTAAACTCAGGACAAAATTTTGAATATATTTAGCAGTATTTTTTCATTAGCTTTTGTAGACGAGTAAAATTCCCCCCAAAAATTTTTTGGGGGGGTTTTTTTATTTTAATTTTTCACCATATTTTATTATTTTTTAAAACTAAATTATATGGCATGATACAAATAATGGTATGTAAAGAAAGCCCTTCCTGTCCTGAAAAAAAAATATATAATTTGTATGGGAACAGTAAATGACAGCGGAAAATGACAGCTAAACACAAGCACCACAAAAGTGTTAAAACAGCCCTGGTCCTTAAAGGGACACTATAGTCACCAGTGCAACTACATGTATTCCTGACCCTATAGTGTTAACACGACCATCTAGCCCCCCTGGGCCCCTCATGCCTCCAAAGATATAGTAAAAATCTTACTGTATTCAAGCCAGAAGCTGTAAATCTGCATGCTGTTAGACTCAGGAAAACAAGCAGTCTGCTGACATGTGATAGCCTGATCCAATCACAGTGCTTCCCCATAGGATTGGCTGAGACTGACAAGGAGACAGATCAAAGGAAGAGCCAGTGTGATTCAAACACAGCCCTGGCCAATCAGCATCTCCTCATGAATTGAATCATTGAATCTCTATGAGGAAAGTTCAGTGTCTGCATGCAGTGGGAGGAGATACTGAATCACAAGATGCTCGTGCACAGCAGATCTGAGTGGATGGAGGCATATTATGCCTCCATCAACTGAGAAGTCCCTCTGGTTCACTCTGAGTGTCTGCAACTGGAGGTGTTCCTAGCTTCCAATGTAAACACTGTATTTTATCAGACAATACAGTGTTTACATGAGAAAGGCTGCAGGGAGCTATAGTTCTCACCTGAACAACCTCACTAAGCTGAGGTTGTTCAGGTGACTATAGTGTCCCTTTAATGTACAACATGGCCAAAACAGTCCAGTTCCTAAGGGGCTTTTAAAACAAAACAAAAAACACTTCCCTTTTTTCTTCTCCTTCATGATCAATGGGGAGCTACTGATTGGCCTGGAGCATCAGCTCACTGCGTTAACAAATCAGTTGCACCCTGCACTTCCTGTAACTGAGATTAAGAAGCCAGATGCTGACTGGGGAACCTAGAGATCAGCGCTGGTGGCAAGATTTGGGGTTTAACCCCTTAATGGAAAAGAGTGCAATTTAGATGGTTATTTTTGTGACCGGTTTGTCCCTTTTAATAGTACTTGTATTGCCTTCTTTCAAAATATGTGCATGCTCTTCTCTCAGTTACTTTAAATCAACTGCATGCCGAAATGTCCCTTTGGATCGTCGAAAAACATTATCCTTTGGTCCTATATTGCAAAATATTTAAGCTTTGCATAAATCATAAATTAACACAGTTGTTTGATAGCCATATATTTTCTTGACAGAGTCACCCAAGGTCAGGGATTAATGCCTGATGGTACCAGCAGATTTACCTGCAACGGAAAGCAGATTCTCCACTTCATGGGTACCAGCACCTTTTCAGAATACACTGTTGTTGCTGACATCTCAGTTGCTAAAATTGAAGACTCTGCCCCATTGAACAAAGTCTGCTTGCTTGGCTGTGGTATCTCAACTGGATATGGGGCTGCTATTAACACTGCTAAGGTACCGTATTTTCCGGCGTATAAGACGACCCCCAACTTTTCCAGTTAAAATATAGAGTTTGGGATATACTCGCCGTATAAGACTACCCCTCTTCCAATGCACACCAAATAAAAATTAGCCATGATGTACAGTGAGCAGACAGAGCTACACAGCAAGACATTAAATAATGATAATCTGAAATAGCATTTAAAGCCCAGGTATGTGCCAGGCTGTTTGGGCATATAATCCATGCCTGCTGGTCTAGCACACAGAAGGCTAATTGCGATATATTATTTTTACTCCCCTCCCCCTCCATTCTTTTTACCCCCCCATTCCTCCCTACATTCTTCTCACCTCCCCTTCCCTGTGCAGAGATTGTTACCTGTTCCCGGCCGGACTGAAAGGAAGTGAGCACTCAGTGCTACGTTTTCTATGTTCTGTATCACATTAGGTTGTATTTTATATTTGGTCATTACTGACCTTTCATAGTACAAAAATGACATAGTAGCACTATATTGATGTAGCATTTTAAAATACATCATATTCTTTGCTACCAAATATGGTAATTTCAGTCTACATTAATAAATCAACACATTTAGCAAAATACATTTTATACAGCTATGTTAGTCATTGGGATGGAATGCAAAGAGGCCCAGAAACAAACGTCAGTAGGTAATCTTTTTCTTTATACTTTTTATGGTTATTCCGGTTTCATTTTTTACTTATTTTTAACATCCCAGTTGCCACCTGTGTATGAATTGCGACCATTTCGCTCACACTAGCTAAGTGAATAAATATGATATTTGTGTTTTGTAATTTTCCTTTTAGTATTTGTGAGATTTGAAGAAAAAAATACAATAGGTGTCACTTGGATTGGTATAAAAGCTTCTATTGTTTGTTGAAATATAACACAAAGAGAAATTATGCAATTTCCCCCCTTCCCTTCAGGTTGAACCTGGCTCCACATGTGCAGTTTTTGGCTTGGGAGGAGTTGGTCTGGCAGTTATCATGGGCTGTAAAGTAGCTGGAGCTACTCGCATTATTGGAGTTGATCTTAATAAAGAGAAGTTTGGAAAGGCAATGGAATTTGGTGCTACTGAATGCATCAGTCCTCTAGATTACAGCAAGCCCATTCAAGAAGTGCTGGTGGAAATTACAGATGGTGGAGTAGACTATTCTTTTGAGTGCATCGGAAATGTTGGAGTTATGGTAAATCTACATCCTACATTGCTTGATGCGGACTGTATTCTGTACGGTAAAACTTTATTAAATACAATATGTATAATAATATTAAAGGACCACTATAGTGCCAGGAAAACATACTCATTTTCCTGGCACTATAGTGCCCTGAGGGTGCCCCCTCCCGTCCGGCTCTGGAAAGGGGTTAAAACGTACCTTTTTCCAGCGCTGGGCGGAGAGCTCTCCTCTCCCGATACTCCGCCCATTCGGCTGAATGCGCACGCGCGGCAAGAGCTGCGCGAGCATTCAGCCGGTCGCATAGGAAAGCATTTACAATGCTTTCCTATGGACGCTTGCGTGCTCTCACTGTGATTTTCACAGTGAGAATCACGCAAGCGCCTCTAGCGGCTGTCAATGAGACAGCCGCTAGAGGAATTGGAGGAAGGATTAACCCATTTGTAAACATAGCAGTTTCTCTGAAACTGCTATGTTTATAAAAAAAATGGGTTAACCCTAGCTGGACCTGGCACCCAGACCACTTCATTAAGCTGAAGTGGTCTGGGTGCCTAGAGTGGTCCTTTAAGTAAAAATAATTCTTCATAGTAAACTACTAATAGCTTGTTTGTGTTCTAGATTCTAGGTTTGAATTGAATTTCCCTTTTTTTTTTTTTTTTTTAAACATAGAATTCTGACGGCAGATAAGAATCATTCGGCCTGTCCAGTCTGCCCAATTTTCTAAATACTTTCATTAGTCTCTTTTATCTAGGATAGCCTTATGCTTATCACACGCAAGCTTAAACTCCCTCACTGTGTTAACCTCTACCACTTCAGCTGGAAGGCTATTCCGTGCATCCACTACCCTGTCAGTAAAGTAATACTTCCTGATATTATTTTTAAACCTTTGTCCCTCTAATTTAAGACTATGTCCTCTTGCTGTGGTAGTTTTTCTCCTTTTAAATGTAGTTCCCTCCTTTACTTTGTCGATTCCCTTTATATATTTAAATGTTTCTGTCGTATCCACCAATCTCATCATTCCTCTAAGATCCTTTAACCTTTCCTGGTACGTTTTACCTGCAATCCATGAACCAGTTTTGTAGCCCTTCTCTTCTACAAAGATATTTTTTTTAATTGTTATTCATTTTATCAGAGAGCTGCTTTAGAAGCTTGTCATAAAGGCTGGGGAACAAGTGTTGTAGTTGGTGTAGCAGCATCTGGACAGGAAATCTCAACGCGTCCATTTCAGCTTGTCACAGGCCGAACTTGGAAAGGAACTGCATTTGGAGGTGAGACTTATATTTGGCAGTGTCGAAAATTAAATTATGTTTTAAACAAATCTGTTGCAACTTTTAAGGCATTCGTAAACTATTTTGGAACCCTCAAACCAAAGGGTGAGTGGGGGGGCTTTTTTCATGAATTTTATTATTTATAAATGTATATATTATTATAGGTTTATCCATCCATTGTATGTTACATACTGCATAATGTAACTAAACACACTGTAAGTATGCTCATCCTATGTTTTAGGAGGAAAGCAACAGAGATTAGATTTTTTTGTGTTTTCCTCAAGTAAATGTACTGAAGCTCGTTTCTTTTTAAATCTACATCCAGCATAAGTCACATTTTGCCCTGTAAATCAAGACTAGCTCGAATGAAGCACTAGAGCAGCGTTTCCCAATTGGTATTTTGCCAAAAATGTTTAAAATAAAATGGCTGCGGGTGGCGAGGGAGCAGTGGGCAGTGATCTCCCTGCTCAGCTTTCTCGCACGAACAGGAGTGAATCTGGAGCTGGAATATGACGTCACTCTGGCATCACTAAGAGGCGCACGAGGGAGCTGAGCAGGGAGATGACTGCTCCCTTTCCGCCCACGCACCAGCCGCTCAGCAGCCCCACTGGACCCCAGGGACTGCATGCTCAGCCCAGCAGCACCACTGGACCCCAGGGAGCGCACACTCAGCCCAGCAGCCCCACTGGACCAATAGGACATAGAGACTCCATGCCAGCACTCCAAAACGTAGGAGGGCTGAGTGGAGAAAAATAAAAAAACAATTGTATGTGTGTCTGTTAGAGCGTTTGTATGTGTTTGTGTGCCTGTCAGATAGTATATGTGCTTGTCCGTGAGTGTGTATATGTAAAAAGGTAGAAATAAGATAAAGGAATCTGCCTATCAAAGGAAGAAAGTCTCCTTACTGAAATTACCGTATATACTCGAGTATAAGTCGACCCGAATATAAGCCGAGGCCAGTAATTTTACCACAAAAAACTGGGAAAACTTATTGACTCGAGTATAAGCCTAGGGTGGGAGATGCAGCAGCTACTAGTAAATTTCTAAATAAAATTAGATCCCAATAAAATTACATTAATTTAATATTTATTTACAGTGTATGTATATAATCAATGCAGTGTGTGTGTGTGTGTGTATATAATGAATGCAGAGTGTGTGTGTGTGTGTGTGTGAATGCAGTGTGTATATATAATAAATGCAGAGTGTGTGTGTGAATGCAGTGTGTATATATAATAAATGCAGTGTGTGTGTGTTTGTGTGAATGCAGTCTATGTGTATATAATGAATGCAGAGTGTGTGTGTGTTTGTGTGAATGCAGTCTATGTGTATATAATGAATGCAGAGTGTGTGTGTTTGTGTGAATGCAGTCTATGTGTATATAATGAATGCAGAGTGTGTGTGTTTGTGTGAGTGTGTGTGCATTATATACACACACTTTGTGTGTATATATTGCAGAGTGTGTGTATATAATGCAGTTAGTGTGTGTTTGTGTAGTGTGTGTGTGTGTGTAAACTTGGTGGGGGGGGGCATTTTTATTATTATTTTTTTTTTAAATTATTTTAATATTGAATTTTAGGTTTTTTAGTCCCCCCTCCCTGCTTGTTACCTGTCCAGGGAGGGGGCTATATCATTCCCTGGTGGTCCAGTGGATGGGCTGTTCAGTGTGGGGGCCGTCAGGAAGCGTTTACTTAGCTTTACAGCAGCTCCCCTATCAGCTCCGTTCACCTCCCCTGTTTAGCTCACAGTGTAAGTCTTGCGGTCTGCGTGGCGCGTTGCCACGGTAACCCATGGCAACGCTCTGACGGCCACGGGTGTCGCGAGACTTACACTGTGAGCTGAACAGGGGAGGTGAACAGAGCTGACCGGGGAGCTGCTGTAAAGGTAAGTAAACACTTCCTGCCAGCCCCCAACAGGACCACCGGGCTTATAATGAGCCCGGCGGTCCTGGTCTGTATTATGGCAATGTAAGTTTATTGCCTTACATTGCTTATACTCGAGTATATACGGTACCTTATAAGTAGAGTCATTCAAAGGTAATGGCAAAGCAACAAAAAATAATAAACTTTGCTTAAACAAGATCCTAAAGTTAAAATATGATAAAGTGACAAAAAGGAGAACAGGAGAAAGTGTCTTGTAATAATCAACAAGTATAAAGGGTATTGAAAAATCCCTTTATAAAACCTTAGTGTGCTGCATGCTCCAAACAATATGTATAGTATAGCCTGAGGAAAGCAAAACGTCCGAGGTGCTCAAGATATCGGTTACACAGCAGGCAGCATACAGAACATGTAGCCTGTGTGGGACAGTACGTGAAAAGATAGTCAAAGATAGGTAATAGCCATTGGGGTTCTATGAATAAAACCCCTAAGATAGAGTAGTGGGAGTAGACGTGCATCTAGTTGAATGGAGGCATAACCCCACAATAAAACCAATGGTAGCCAAACCCCACTCCCAAACCAACCGTGCTAATAACCCTCCGTAGCTAGGAGGCTATCCAGATAAATGGCTAGAGCTATCCAACCTAATCACTTCGGCTATCTGCTGCTTCTGGCAGCTAAAAGATTATATGTAGCTTGCCCTGCTACTTAGTGTGCCAATGCACTTATTCTTTTAGTTCACGTTTCTATTGAGGGGAGATTAGTTTGTCTATCCATTTGTGTTAGCTGCAGCTTTTTATGTTACACACACACACAGGGTAAGCTACACGATGTTGATACACTATGTCAAAGGGTTCCACGGGAAAAATTAATTGGGAACCCCTGCACTAGAGAAATCAACCTACCACAGTATTTGTTGTACAAAACCTCATATATTTTCTTTTTTTCCTTTCAGATTCTTTTTTTACGTGTTGGTTTTCTTTTTGGGGTGGGGGTGTGGGGGTTTCAAACAATAAAACAATAATTGATTCCTGCATGTATATTTCAGTCATTTTTTATATTTACATTTCTTTCTGCAAATTCAGACATGTAAATTTTATCTTAAATACAAACATTTTTATGCTCGTGGAGTCTAGTTTACTAGGAGAATATTGATAAACTGATGCTTTGTTTGCATCTTTATTTTACATAGCAGTCTCATGTGCCTAATTAGCAAAACACAAACATATTTACTTTAAATGTCTTGTTACCTTTACTACTGAATTATATTCCCCTTCTGCATATTGAAATCTAAGAGTAAGCATTAATTAGTTTATAAAAGCACCCAATTTGCTTTATTTATTTGTTATTATTGTTTTAATGAACAGCTATTATGTGTGTGTTACTTTTAGAGCACAATTTTTTTTTATTTTTTATTTTTTGTCATAAACTGTCATTATTTTAAGAGTAATATTCAGTAAAATGTATGTGTGCATTAGAGCTGCAATAACTAACTACCGGTAATTGATTTAAAGAACTTTTTGTCAATGATTCTCATTATAGATTAGTTGGTCTGATTTACACATGCATAGTTATTGAGGGAGAGAGCGCAAAAGCGCATGCTCACACTCTTGCAGGTAGACACTCGCTGCTCGATTTCAGCTCACCCTACTCTCCATGCTACATTGTCGTGTTTGCCAGTCTCCTCAACCACCTCTGCTCAGTCCTTGCTGGCCTGTTTGCTAAGCAGCACCTCACCAGAAACACAGGACTCCTACAACATTTCGACTTGAACAAAGTTTTGACCTTTGGGGACATGGAGAGATGGCACTAAGGCTCGCCTTTGGGCTGTGCAAGGCATGTGGCCTGTCAGCACATTCTAATGTGAGGGGAGGGTACTCCTGGGAGCTATCAATGTATAGTGCATAAGGCAAGCAAGATGGTGTATGGGAATAACTTTAAATTGGTAATTATTGTTTTCTTTTTTAATATAGTTCATAGTGGGAGTGTTTGGTTTTTTTTTTTTGGTTGGTTTTTTTTACCAGTAAGTTAAAAATGTAAAAGAAATCATCTGATTGTGTGTATGTATGTGTGATATAGATACATATTGTTTTCGATAAATACTAATTGTAATCTTACTTTTTTGAGTCTACAATGACATCCAAGAAATTACATTTTGTGCAAAGAATGTGTTAAATGCATTATATTGTATCATATTTGTTAAACTTATGTATTACAGGTTGGAAGAGTGTAGAAAGTGTTCCAAAGCTGGTCTCTGAATACATGTCCAAAAAAATTAAAGTTGATGAGTTTGTTACTCACACTTTATCCTTCAGTTCCATTAATGAAGCCTTTGAGCTGATGCACGCAGGGAAGAGGTAAGTCATTTATTTAAATACCAAAAATTCACACTGTATTCTTTACCAATAGTTTCTTTAGTAGACATTTGACTGTGTGTAATTTAGTCTTACAACGTTAAATGATGTTTGCAAGAACTACTTTATCAAAATTTAGTTTTTTCCAGTAGAAAAAAGTTGTTTTTTTAAAGCAGAGAAATAGGGTTATTTGTGAAAGTGTGAATTATCAGCTGTAATAAGCGGTTTTCAGTTATGCTATTTTGGCCTAAATTTGAAATTCACTTTGTATTCCTGGCCATTCACACTTTAATAAATGACAATGTGACATTCTTACTTGAAATATTTGGCATGTAAATGCATGCAAAAATTACATACCGATCCTAACATAAAATGTTAATGGCCTCCACAGTGTGTTCTTTTTGCTGTGTCTAGCTGGAAGTACCAAATAAACTGTCTAATTGAATAATAACACATATACATCCCAACATGCACTTTCCATTCTTAATTAGATGGGTACTAGAGTCCTAATCGTGGATAAAAACAGGGAATCTAACAGGGATAGAATGATTCTTCAGAGGTATCTTGTCTAAATGCTGAAATGCGCATCAAACCGTTCTTTTGTTAGATTTCACCTGATTAATGTGATGTAAAGACCCTAGAGATGAGTCGCTAGTGTGGTTCAAATTAGAATCATGATTTAGCAGGCATGAGGATTTCTTTTTTTAACTGCTGACCTATTGTGTGACAGGCTCGGGGGATCACAAGTTTAAGGAGGGCAGTCAGCGTATCATCAGGCATATATGAGCCTGTTTAAAAATCTGTTGTAATTGGAATTAGTACTTACGGTCATTTACTACTGTCTGTCTCTAACTTCTTGCTACTATTTCCCGATTACGTTTAGTCAATACGTTTAGTCAGTATAGCTCTGAGAAGTATTTCCATCTATTAAAGGTTGGAGAGTACAGATTGAGATGTAGATGTGCTGTCAATTAGTTAGACCATGGGTAGTCAACCTGGTCCCTAATGCCCACTAGTGGGCGTTTTGGGATTACAGGTGAACAGTGGTGGGTTCTGCAGAAAGGCCGGCAGGGGAGATCATCTCCCATGCAGAGCTAGCCTTGCTGTAAGCCCTTTCGGGCTCAAAGATCTCCCTCACCGGCCCACTGAAACTTAGTTCCAGCAGAGGGAGGGAAGGTGCTCTTTGTCCCCACCCCCACCCCCCGGTAAAAGGTAAGAAAAACCCAGGGTGAGACATTAAATGGACACTATAGTCACCAGAACAACTACAGCTTCTTGAATTTGTTCTGGTGAGTAGAATCATTACCTTCAGGCCTTTTGCTGTAAACACTGTCTTTTCAGAGAAAATGCAGTGTTTACATTACAGCCTAGTGATAACTCAGATGGCTGTTCTAGATCCTTCCTGGGTCATGGCTGCCTAAAATGCATCCAAACATTCAGTGTCTCCTTCATCTGCATGCAGACACTGAACTTTCCTCCTAGAGATTCATTGATTCAATTCATCTCTATGAGTAGATGCTGATTGGCCAGAGCTGCGTTTGAATCATGCTGGCTCTGCCCCTGATCTGCCTCCTTGTCAGTCTCAGCCAATCCTATGGAGAAGCACTGTGATTGGATCAGGCTACCACTTCTGATGATGTCAGCAGACTGCTTGTTTTTCTGAGGCAGACAGGGCAGAGCCAGCAGCTTCAGGCTTGAATACAGAAAGATTTTTACTATATTTATGGAGGCATTTGGGGCCCAAGGGGGCTAGATGGTGGTTTTAACACTATAGGGTCAGGAATACATGTTTGTGTTCCTGACCCTATAGTGATCATTTAAGATTTTCACAACTCACCCACCTACACACAGCATAGACCTCATGAACACCTCACATATACACACTAGTCCACACAGAACCCATCACACACACACACACACACACGCTAAGCTCTCCTGTCTAAAAATAAAAACATTGCACTTGCGCTATAAAATGAGTTAAGTTGGCACTGGTGGGCGGTAAGGAAACTTTACCATTAACAAAGATTCAAAAGTGGGCAGTAGGTATTAAAAGGTTGACTACCCATGAGTTAGATTGTTTATTTGGTACTGCCAGCTACTTAACTGACACTATTGGTCGGTTTAACAATTTATTTCTGTGTCCTTTGATCTATTTGATTATCAATCCAATCTAAGACTATAGTTCATTTGTGTGGCTGTTGCTTTCTCTATCATACAAATAGATACATTTGTTCTACTGAACTCACCATGCAAGTATATACATTTTGATATACTGAGCTTAAATTGTTACTTAGACCATGTACCTGGTGCTGGCTTTCGCCAGGTTTTTATGATTTATTATGTGTGCATTCAACAGTATGCTATTGGTATATGGTGCTTAGTTTAACCATACGATTTTAGAGAGCATAATTTAATTAGCTATAATAGGATATTTTTCTATGGCTTGACCAATTTGATAGCCATACTTTTGCAATACAAAACCATGCACATAAATATTTTTCTTATTTTTCTGCAGCATTCGAAGCGTTTTGAACTATTAAAGATTTTTCTTCAAATCGACCTTTTCAGACTGATGCAGCAACCTGTTTTACTAGTTCATACATAGAATCATTGCACATTAAATAATAAGTAAAAAAAATCTGTACTAATGAATTTCTAATAAAACCTAAATTTGAGCACCTTTTTGTCCTAGTTTTTTTTTTTTCTTCTTTGTTGCTTCAAAATTATAACACTTTTGGGGGGGCGGAGCTTGACAGTCAATAGAACCAGACGTGTGAGCCCTGAGCTTGCTCTCACCTGGGTATTAAATCCGCAACCATTCGCACTTGTACGAAGGATTTCAAACAACATACCACCCTTGATCATGCAAAAAAAAACAAGACTCGACACCCAATGGGATGCAACAAAAAATGGAGGGACGTGACCCCCTCAGTCGCCACGATATTCAGAAAACCCAAAGAGCAGTAGCCACTATCTTTGTCACAAGGCCTCATGGACTCGGGCACAAACTCAAAACTTAGAGGACAGTGAAGTACACCCAGATGCCCCTCTGACAACAGGGGACCTCCTGTCAGGGTATTTATATCGGCAGACATCTTGTGCTATGATAGAAACTAAAAGTGTATATTCTGAGTCACTCTGAACAGATCAGACTCCATTTTGTTATTTCAAGTTAACAGAAAGACACTATATTTCTATCTGTAAGCTAACCACTTTCCCAGAGCTCAGGAATGCATAGTATATACAAGCCAAGTGATAAGGAAGGGGGTTGGACAGACTGTCTAATGCTAAAAGAATATAATCAAATCTAAACCCAGACAATTGTGACAGAGAAGATTAAATAATTTAATTTTACTGTCTATACATATAAGGTACCATTGTATGGAAAAGGGTAAACTTAGTTCATGATCTGTCATATCAGAAATTATGGCAGGAATTGCAGACGCTAAGTCTGGACAAAATTTAAGAAACCCTTTGAAATTTTAAATTATGGCGCTATAAAGATAACGCAAAATGACGTCAAAATAGTCACCAGGAAAAGTTAACTCTTTCCTGGATAGGTATGTTTAGTGGGACAAGACTGCCCTCTACAGACCAAATAACTAATTTGCGATCTGGAAGATAACCACACCTCTAGTGCTTCTATTGGGTTATCAACTGATGACGTACAGAGAGTCTGGCCCTTTAAAAGTTAAGACAAAGGGAAGATAGAGAGAAGACGAGAGGAGGCAGATGCAAGAGATGCAAAGGAGAGAAAAGAGAGGAATTGGAAGTTTGGGGACTCCAACCTCCATGCAGAGACACATCCAAATAAATTCCTGAGACTACCAATCGGATGAAATATCTACTCAACTGGTAATTATACTGGTTTCATTTAATTAAATTAATTTAATTAAAATGTATTAATAGCATTATATATGACTGGATAAAGCACGGTCAGATTTCCATATTAAGAAATCTTAGTTAACTAAGAATATATAGTTATAAACATTCCATTCTGCAGGTGGAATTAAGAATAATTATATATTGATGTGATATTATCACGTGTTAGCATACCGCTGTTTTTATCCAGGTGTATTGATTTGCTCTAAATTAAGATAGATATCTTTTAGACAAATTAAAAATCTGCTTATATAATATATTAAATTCTCTTATGGATGGTTTAAGAAAATGACTAATGAACTGGTTTAAATGTTATTTTATTTAAAATACATAAGAATAGATCTTAACTACCTAGGAGATCTAGCCAGCATTGAAAGGGTTATTCTAACTGTCTGCTAAACTTTACGACCTTACGCTGCACTCTGAGGAATTCTGTTCTCTGTGTGAAAAGTTTTACTTTCAGTCTGTGTTAAAGATGGTAATAAATAAGTCTTGACAGATAATGCTGTTTTAGCCATTGAAACGTAATACCCATTCCTTTGTATTGCATACCATTTTATACTGGATATTCATTGATTATTGTTATGCATGTTACATAATATTATTTGTTAATTATTGATTATCATAAATAAAATCTATTTTTATACATTGTGATATTAATTATATGAAATACATTTCACTTACGATAAACGTTCTTTGGGATCTGAGAATTGAATTAGTGGGCAATTCTCACTGTTACTATTATTATCCCATAAATATCCCCACATATTGGAGGCACTGCTGAGATCGTTTAAGTTGAAATTGTATTTCATATATAATAATATTGGTGTAATTCATGCAATTTAATCTTGATATAGAAAAGAGTTTTGTATTGAGATTAAATCACTGTATAGAAATATGGCTGAATCTAGCGCTTCATCTCAATCAGAGAATGGGAAGAAGTTAGCGGAAATGCAAGGTTTTCCCTTAAGCATCATATCAGTATCTAAATATTAAAGTTGATTATCCAGAGTGGATACTCCAAATAAAAAAACAGGTTGATGATTCGATTCATGATAGATCGGCTGATTCACCTATGGTTAAATATCTTAGCCATATAGATGAAGAGTCTACAATGCGATCTGTTACCAACTCATGCCCGTTTTTCATATTGGGTTATTCTATTATGTTAAAAAAGCATAATGAGATAGAACGTAAATTGGACGAGTGTCAGAAAGACCTGGTGCTCGAACAAGGAAGGTTCAAAACTTTGTCTGATGAAAATAATCTCCTTCGGGCTCTAAACTCTGACCTTTTTAATAAACTGGAAAGAATGAGCAAAATGGTGGATGATTATGATCAACAGATAAAACAGATACAGATGCAGCTAGATGAATATCAAAAGGGAAGTGAAGGATTACTGGGAAAAGACCCAAGTGGTTCTTCTCAATTCCCTGATATTCACACACCAGACCAGGTTTTCATAAAACAGTCTGTAAGTAAAGATGTGAGTAATTCTGAGAAAACACCTGTAGATTCTTGGCAATTTTGGGCAGAGCAGTTTGAAAAGACTGTCCTGGCCAAGCTTGACAGAAGGAATCAGATTCAAGGTGATAGGAATGAAAACAGACATGGTTCTGTACACTGGCAGAACTCTGATGCAGATCAGAATTGTGACAGTGAACAAGAAGCTCAGAGTGATGGGAGTGAAAGTGATTGCACTCTCCACTCTGAAGGCCATGTAACTGATATGCCATCTGCACTGTTGTACGGGTCTAATTCCTCTTCAGCAGACAGATCGCATAGACGTTTACCCAAACACAGAAACAGAGGTCGTAAATCAACGACGCCTGTTTATGAAACACCAAAGGTCATCAAATTCCTTAGAGAGACTGTCCCACAATTTTCTAGAGGTTCAGGAAACATATCTGAACATCTGGAAAATTATGATAGAGCAATGAATTCATTGGGCATGTATGATGACATTCATAAGAAATGGTTCATTACATGGACCTTTGATTCAATGTGCCGTGTTTATCTAGAAAGTCTTCAAGCTATACAGTTAATGTCCTGGTCCAAGATGAAATATGAAATAATCATGGAATATGGTAAGTATAAAACCATTGCTTCTGCAAAGAGGGCGCTTTATAACTTAAAGTGCCGTCCAGATCAAAGCCCCAGAGAATTTTTAGTAATTCTTAAAAATGCATACTCCGTGGCCCAAAGAAAACCCAGGTATGAAAGCACAGATTTCAAAGATCTGTATTTTCATGCCATGCCGGTAAACATACAAATGAATCTCGCAAGAGATTACGATTGTAAGTTACCATTAGAATGGCTAGTCAGTCAGTGCATGAAGTTGTACACTATACACCATGCACATGACGAAAATCAGCCAAAGGTTAAGAAACCTGGTGATAAAATGGTATCAGAGACTAAAATTCAGTTAGGTGTAGAAACCCAACAGAAAAAGAGGACCTATTCCGAGGTTTTGAAATCTCCAAAACCTCAGAAACAGGAAAATGCCGGAAGCAATTCTGCAAATTCCTCCAATAACTCTGAAAGACCCAAAGCCAATGGGAATAAACGCCCCTGGGTTAATAAGAACCAAGGCAATTCCCAATGGAGAAGGAATCCTCAGGGAAATAGGAGATATGGAAACAGAAATAACCAATCTGCTTCCAATAACTCCCAACAGTCTCAGCCATCCCAGCCAAATTCTAATGGGCAAAGACAAAACGGCAATGGGGGAAATAATTTGCGTCGTCAGGTTGGTCAATTGACAGACCAGATGGGCAAATTAATGGAGGAAATGACAAAGATCAACCAAGTCTTTGCTCTAAATCCTTTTTTAGGGATAGCTCCAATTGCAGAACTACCTGTGCAACCGCAGCAACAACAACAGGTGCCGCAGCAATAATAGCCACTGTGACTAAACAGGCTAGGTTATCAGTAGATGTAATGCCTAACCCTGTTTCCTTTCCAGGTACTAACAGTCAAACAAACAATAGTTGTGTTAGAAAACCTATTGCCTATACCGTCACTTCACTTCCGGGTGAAGGAGGCGCAACGTGTTCCTCTGTTTTTTCATTTCAGCCAAAGGCTAAAATAGCCCCAGCAGCCACTAGTTTCCAGGATCCAGACCTGAAAGGGTTAACTGATGAGATGCCGACCACTAGTTCCCGCTTGACAGTTCAAGATATTCCTAAAAAGGATGGGCCTGTGGGTAAGACTGAGCATTCCTCAGTACAGGTAGAAACTACTGCTGTGACCGGTAATGTATGGAAAACAAGTAATATGTTGACACATTCTAAATTCTTATGTGAATTAGAAGAACATGAAGGAAGGTACTACATGTCTGTAGAAATACAGGATTCGTTACCCCAGCCTTTTAAAGGGTTAATAGATACTGGTTCACAAGCCACTATCTTATCCAATACCTACTTCCAGCAGGTAATGGACTTAGCAACGGATAAGCCGAAGCTAAGAGATTTCCCCAATGCTCTGTTGAGTGTAGGAGGAAATGCCCTTCATGTTATTGGCAATACCTGGTTAAAGTTTAAAATAGGTAACAAAACCTTTAGACACCCGGTGATAGTGGTAGATCTCCCCTATGACCGACTGATTCTGGGTATAGACATACTCAGAAGACTTAACACAATTATTGACTGTGTGAATG